TACATTATAGTTATACCGAAAACTAATAGAAAGGTACACATTATTATAATACGTAAAGTCTTTTTTTTTTTTTTTCTGTTTGAACGAATGTAAAATTAATTATCATCCTACGTTTATTTTACCTTATAATTTTTTTAATTTGTTCTAAAAGATATATTTAAAAAAAATTAATTGAAAATTTTCAGATGACTAATGAATATACATTAAAAATTTAAAAATAAAAAAAATTAAAATTTAATATAAATTTATTAGATATTTTTTAAAATTTACCTAGACTCCTAAAACTACTCTTAATTATTTAACCTTGTTTTAACTGCAATGTTTTCACCATTATATATATATATAAAGAAAAAGAGGCCGTTCCCTCCACAATTCATGGGTGTGCGGATTCGATTGGATGGGGAAGGGATAAACACCCCGCCATTATTATGTAATTCCTTCTACTTCTTCCTTTCATGGCTTCCTTGCCTTCTGTTACCCTAACTGCTGCTCTCAACCTCGATTCCGACGTAAGAAAGCGACACTCTACCAGCCTTCTCCTCAAGGATAAGGTACTCTTTTTGCTTGTTTTCGATGGAGCCATGATTGATTTGAAATGAAATATTCTTTTGAAAATACTCTAATTGATCTTACGGACTTCTGTTCTTGGTTTGTGAGAAGGATCAGTTGAGTTGGAGTTTGAAACTGTGGATTCTGAATGTTGGATTCTTAATTTGTTCGTAACTAATCGTGTGGAATGTGAATTTAGCCTGCTTTGTTTTCTTGATCTGTCGTTTTGTTGATTCTATGATTTACTGTAGAGTGCTAGCGTGTCGTATCAGAAAAATCAGTCGCTAATTCAACTGAATGTTGATGCGGAGCCGAAGTTTGTAGACGTACGTGAAGCTCTGTCTCTGTTGAAAGAAGGTACGACGGTCAAAACTTCTTACTATGTTCCGTTGTTGCAAGAATGCATAGACAGAAAATTAGCTGCAGCAGCGGAAATTATCCATGGTCATATCGTAAAAACTGGGACTCATGAAGACCTATTTGTAATGACCAATCTTGTTAATGTTTATGCGAAATGTGGAGTCATGGAAAAAGCTCGCAAAGTGTTTGATAATTTGCCTCGAAGAAATGTCATTGCCTGGACTACTCTAGTGACTGGTTATGTTCAGAACTCGCAGCCTCTGCCTGCTCTTAAAGTATTCATCGAAATGTTGCAGGCTGGAGCTTATCCTACAAATTTTACACTCGGAATAGTGTTGAATGCTTGTTCTTCCCTGCAATCTATCCAATTGGGGAAGCAAGTTCATGCATATATCATCAAATATCACTTAGATTTTGATACTAGTATTGGCAACTCTCTTTCTAGCTTCTATTCTAAATTTGGGTGCTTGGAACTCGCTATCAGGGCCTTCCAGAAAATTAAGGAAAAGAATGTCATTTCATGGACTTCAGTTGTATCTGCCTGTGGTGATAATGGTCAAGCAGCTCGGAGTTTAAGTTTCTTTACCAAGATGATCTCAGAAGGCGTGGAGCCGAATGAATATACTCTCACCAGTGTCTTGAGCACTTGTTGTGTGATGCTAACATTGAGTCTAGGAGCACAGATTCATTCACTAAGCATTAAGCTTGGTTATGGTTCAAGCATACCTATAAAAAATTCTGTCATGTACTTATACCTGAAATGTGGATGGCTTATTGAGGCTCAGAAATTGTTCGAAGGTATGGAGACCCCCAATTTGATTACATGGAATTCAATGATTGCTGGGCATGCAAAAATGATGGATGCTGCTGAAGATGATCTTGCAGCTCACAAGAGTGGATCCACAGCACTTAATATGTTCCAGAAATTACATCACTCGGGTATAAAGCCCGATCTGTTCACTTTCTCCAGTGTTTTAAGCGTTTGTAGTAGACTAGTAGCCTTAGAACAAGGGGAACAAACTTAGGCTCAGATCATCAAGAGTGGTGTTTTGGCAGATGTTGTTGTGGGAACTGCATTGATTAGTATGTATAACAAATGTGGAAGTATTGATGAGGCGAGTAAAGCTTTCTTGGAGATGCCTTCAAGAACTCTGATATCATGGACTTCGATGATTACGGGATTTGCACGACACGGTTTGTCTCAACAAGCACTTCAGCTCTTTGAAGATATGAGACTGGCTGGAGTTAAACCAAACCAGATCACTTTTGTAGGTGTTCTATCAGCTTGTAGCCATGGTGGTTTGGTGGATGAAGCACTGTATTACTTTGAAGTAATGCAGAAGCAGTACAAGATTGAGCCTGTAATGGACCATTTTGCATGCATGATTGACATGTATATGAGGTTGGGTCGGGTGGAAGAAGCTTTTGATGTAGTCAAGAAGATGAACTTTGAGCCTAATGAAATTATATGGTCCATGTTAATTGCAGGATGTCGAAGTCATGGGAACTCCGAATTGGGGTTTTATGCTGCTGAGCAGTTACTCAAACTCAGGCCGAAAGACACCGAGACCTACATCTCTCTGCTAAATATGTACATCTCTGCAGGGAGATGGAAGGATGTTTCCACGGTGAGGAAATTAATGAAAGAAGAAAAGCTTGGAAAGTTGAAGGACTGGAGCTGGATTAGCATCAAAGAAAAAGTTTATTCATTTAAACCCAATGACAAATCACACTGTCAAACTGCAGAGATGTACAAGCTGTTGGAGACTTTACTCGACGAAGTAAAACCTCTTGGTTACGAACCTGTTCAATATATGGAGGTAATCGAAGAGGAGAAAGGCGATGAAACAGTGTTCTCGTCCACCATTTATCACAGCGAGCGGTTAGCCATTGCTTTTGGCTTGTTAAACCTGCCAAAAGCCACCCAGATTCGGGTTGTCAAGAACATCACCATGTGTAGGGACTGCCATAATTTTATCCGATTCGTATCATTATTGACAGGCAGGGAAATCGTCATCCGAGATAGCAAGCAGCTTCACAAGTTTTCAAACGGATACTGTTCTTGTAGAGGTTTTGGAGATCTTCTTTAGTGTCCTTGGTGAAGAGCAGGGTAAGACACGAACTTAAATTTTGTACAAACCTAGCGACATTGAGCTGTCAAAATATTCATATGAAGCTGATTTCTGTTGAGCTTCAGACAAATACCAGGACAATTTAATGTCAACACCATTGTTCCTTCTCTGTATAGCGAAAGAATGACAAGAGGTAGGTCAGCTAATTTGCTAAGAGATTTTAACAAAACTAGATGATGGTATATACAGGTACTCCTATACAAATTTCCAGCCTTAGATGATATGCCGTTTCCAGCGTTGATGCCACACAAAATCAGCGTCTTTTAGTCTTGTTCTTGGCGGTTCTTGATTTGCTGGTGTCAATTGAAGGTTTCAATATCTCAAACAGTGTAATGAGATAATTTTGGACGGAACCAGGAGAAAATGTGGTACATGTTATGAACCACGAATCTCTAATCTCTGGAATGGTATGATATTGTTCTCTTTGAGTATAAACCCACCTGACTTTGCTTTTGGTTTTCTCAAAAGACCTCGTACCAATGGAAATATATTCCTTACTTATAAATCCATGATCGTTTATATTATTTTCTTTTTTAGGGTTGGGGGTTGGGTTGTGAAAAGTTTCGGGTTGGGTTGGGTTGGGTTACCAATCCAACCAACCCAAACTTTTGGGTTGGGTCAAAAAAAATCCTCCAACCCGACCCAACCCGGACCATGTACACCCCTAATGACAAGATTTCAAGTGAGAACTTCAAAATGATTACTCATGTGTGTCTTGAAACCCATTGATTTAGCTACAGCTTCCATAGTTGATAATAAAACCTTTGTGGGCTTTTGGCAGACAAGGCATGTCGGGTGCTTCGTAGTATCCTGCTGTAATCCAAAGAAATTTAACCTTCAATTCAATTCTCTAGCAAGGTACGCATACTAAACTTTCTTATACCATCATATTTTAAAATGATCGAAGCATGATATAGTCAGTCAATGATAAAGGATTATGGTTAATGATGAGTTATGATCATCTTAGTTAGGGAAGCTCTTTAATATGATAGGTAAATTGGCTTGCTCTAACGTTCAATCCTTGACGAGGTACACATACTAAACTTTCTTATACCAACATATTTTAAAATGATCGAAGCATGATATAGTCAGAGATAAATGACTATATACGGTTAATGATGAGTCATGATCATGTTAGTAAGTGAGACTCTTCAATATGATAGGTAAATTGGCTCGCTCTAATTCTATGTTAAATCACCACTAATGAGCATTATGGTAAGTTAATCTATATCAATTCTTGAAAACTCGTGGGATAACGATAACGCGATACTTCCAACAAAAATTGATGTTTGAAAAGTTGACGAGCAAGAACGAAAATATGTCTCGAAAAACACTTTATTTTCCTTTCTATAGGTGTGTTCCCTACTTACTCACCATACTTTTGCTTAGTTTACTATCCTTCGAAAAAAATTTAACGGGAGTTTTCTTATTATGAAATCCTACATTAGTTGGGAGAGCGATAAAACTATGATGTCTCACATTGGTTGGAGAGGAGAACAAACCACTATTTATAAGGGTGTAGAAACCTTTCGCTAGCAGACGCGTTTTAAAGTCTTGAGGGGAAGCCCGAAAGGTAAAGCCCTAAGAGGACAATATTTGCTAGCGGTGGATCTGGGCCGTTACAAATTGTATCAGAGCCAGACATCGAACGATGTGCCAGCCTTCTCGTTGTTCTCCGAATGGGGGTAGACACGAGGCGGTGTGCCAGTAAGGACGTTGGGCCCCAAAGGGGGGTGGATTTGGAGGCGGTCCCACATTGATTGGAGGAAGGAAAGAGTGCCAGCGAGGACGCTGGCCCCGAAGGGGGGTGGATTGTGATGTCTCACATTGGTTGGAGAGGAGAACAAACCACCATTTATAAGGGTGTGGAAAACCTTCCCCTAGCGTTTTAAAGACTTGAGAGGAAACCCAAAGAGGAAAATATCTGCTAGCGGTGGATCTGGGCCGTTACAAATAGGGAAAGTCTCGAAAGTCGAGTCGTGACAAAAACATTCTTTATAAAGTATGAAAATTTCTCTCTAGTATACAGTTTTTAAAACTTTGACAGAAACCTCTCGAACGAAACAAAAGTAAGTACTACTTTTGGAAGAAAGGAATAGATGTGGGGAATTTTTAAAACCACTTTTGATTATTTAATATATTTCCCCAAAAGTTTTGAGATGCTTTCTAAAATAGGTCAAAATAATACTTTTTAAATCAAATTACTTTACCATGAAGTTAAAGTCTACTCTTTTAAATCACAAAAATATAGAACTTAATCACATACAAAGACAGAACTTTAACCTTTTAAAACTTTTGGGAATCAATTGTAATTTAAAAGTAATAGGAGGGCTAGAATAAAATTGCTCAAATCTATCCATTAAAATTCTTTTTTTAATTATTATCTTAAACAAAATAATAATAATAATAATAATAATAATAATAATAATAATACGTGTTTATCCTCTTCATAATCCCTATATATATGTATGTATGGTACAAATTAGTTAATATTGTAGTAAAAGAAAAAAAAAGAAGAAGAAATTTCCGTATCGGAGAAGACAATCACCGGCGGAAACCAAAGGCAATGTTTCTAAGAAGAGTCGCCGTCGGTGCTACGAAACTCAATGTTGCTCCGGCGAATGGGCGGTTCCTCCTCCGTCACATGGTTGTTTTTTCTCTCTCCTCGCCGCCAGTTCGTAATTTCTATGATTTTTCTTTCTTGATGTCTAAATTTTCCATCGGTTTTCTATGGTCGCAGTCTTCTCGGTACGGGTCCACGGCGGAGGAAAGGGAGGCTCGAGCAACTGTGAGCATTCCATTTCTATTATTATTATTATTATTATTATTATTAAATACATTTATTTAATCCCAAAATTATTAATATTAATTTATTCAATTATGACTCGTAAAAATATTTATATTTTTTTAGTTAAAAATATTTTGAAATTTTGTTTATATTTTGTTTGTAATATAATTTCATTTATTTCTTGAAAAAAGTATATTATTTAAGCGGAAAATTGTGAAAACGAACCCATGATGGGGGACATGCAGCACTCTTTGATGTCACTATCAAGTTATTTAAAAGTTATTTTATTTTATTTTTATTTTTATGTTTTCTATTTTTTAAAAAACAGAAATTATTGATTTTTTATTTTTTGAAAATAGAATGTAACTATTAGATGTTTAAATCAATTCTTTATTTGATGTATTAATTATTAGAAATAATTATATTTTTATTTTTAAAAAGACATTTATTTAGATATGTTTAGCGTATCAAAATTTTATATAAACAAATAATATTTCGATTTTAATTTTTATAATTACGTATTAATTATTTATAGATAATTAATTAGGATTAGTTTATTTATTTTTATTAAGTCAAATTATTAAAACAATTTTATCCACTCGGATTTAATTTTCTTCCTTAATAAATATATTATGAATCATATGTCATAATTTTAGCGTATTTTTAATTTATTTAGCGATCTATCTTAACAACTATCTTCAAATAAATGAATATAATAAATTATTATACACTTTTAATGGTAAATAATTAGTATAACAAAAATTAATTATATATGTTATATTTCTTTTATATTAAGAAAACATTTTTTTTTCATAGTTTCATGTTAGCTAAAGATTATACAGATACAATAAGTTACATGTTAAAATTAACGCATAAAATAGCGTTATCATATGTTAATTTAGAATAAATAAAGATATTAAGCGCGAAATAAATGAATGCCCGTCAAAATATATTTTTAACCATAAAAGAATTAAGTTGTTAGACGAACACGAGTCTCCACAATGGTATGATATTGTCCACTTTGAGCGTAAGCTCTTATGGCTTTTCTTTGGGCTTCCCCAAAAGGCCTCATACCATTGTGGAGAGTCGTGTTCGTTCGTCTAACATGGTATCAGAGTAGCTCTAAATTTAGTCGTGTCAATAGATTGGTAAATTCTCAAATGTCGAACAAATGACTCCAAAAGAAGAAGGAGTCAAGCCTCCTCGAAGACAGTAAAAAATGACTAGGACTCCAAAGAAGTCGAGCCTCGATTGAGGGGAGACGTGCTTTGTTCGAGGGGAGGTGTTGGATGATGAAAGTCCCACCTCGGCTAATTTAAGGAATGATCATGGGTTTATAAACAAAGAATACTCTTTCCATTGTTACGAGGCCTTTCGGGGAAGCCCAAAGAAAATCCATGAGAGCTTAGGCTCAAAGTGGACAATATCATACCATTGTAGAGACTCGTGATTCGTAGTAAATACATGATTGATCAATTAATTTTGGTTTCAGTGGGTTAAGCAGCTGAACGACCCCATGGAGGTCGTTGCTCCGGAAGTGGTAGATATCATTGAGCGCGAGAAAGCTCGTCAATTCAAGGTTTTTTATTTGAAATGCTTGATTGAATTGATTTGAGCTTAGTTTCGTGGTTAATTCTTGTGCAATTCATTTATAAATGTGAAGGGTCTTGAAGTTATAGCGTCAGAGAATTTCTGCTCAAGAGCAGTGATGGAAGCAATTGGTTCGATTATGACCAATTCATCTAGTGATGGATATCCCGGTGCCAGATACAGTGGAGGAACTGAGTCTGTCAATCATTCTATCTCAATTCCACGCTACAATTTCCTTCATTCTATTCCTGTTTTAATTAATGATAAACCCCAAATGGATTTAGGTACTTGGACATCATTGAAAACTGGTGCATGGAACGTGCTCTACAAGTTTTTCGTTTGGACCCTGCAAAATGGGGAGGTATCGTTATCATCATCATCATTATCTTCTTCTTCGTTTTAGTACTACAATCGGGAGCAAGCTTAACAAGTATTGTTGTGTGATGTCCCACATTGGTTGGGGAGGAGAACAAACCACCATTTATAAGGGTGTGGAAACCTTCTCCTAGCAGACGTGTTTTAAAGCCTTGAGGGGAAGTCCAAAGAGGACAATATCTGCTAGCGGTAGATCTGGGTTGTTACAAATGGTATCAGAGCCAGACATCGGACGATGTGTCAACCTTCTCGCTGTTTCCCGAATGGGGGTAGACACGAGGCGGTGTGCCAGTAAGGACGCTGGGCCCCAAAGGAGGGTGGATTTGGGGGCGGTCCCACATCGATTGGAGGAAGGAAAGAGTGCCAGCGAGGATGCTGGGCCCCGAAGGGGATGGATTGTGATGTCCCACATCGGTTGGGGAGGAGAACAAACCACCCTTTATAAGGGTGTGGAAACCTTCCCCTAGTAGACGTGTTTTAAAGCCTTGAGGGGAAGCCCAAAGAGGGCAATATCTGCTAGCGGTGGATCTGGGTCGTTACATGTTGTCGAATGGTTATGATCAAATTTTGTTTCAAATTCTGTCTATTGACGTATATTTCTTTTCTCGAGTTTCTTGTGATTCAGCTGGTATATTTGCGAACATTTTCAGAACTAGTATGAAGTTGACTAACTGAGCATGCTCTATTGTTTTTAGTTAATGTGCAGACTCTCACTGGATCCATAGCTAACTTTCAGACATATACTGGATTATTGAAACCTCATGAGAGGATAATGTCTCTTGATTTACCACATGGTGGACACCTTTCTCATGGTTATCAGGTGCTTAATTTTCAAATCTAATAGGTATTAGTTTTTGGTTAAAGCACAAATTTGATTTTATCCCAATGATTTTGACCGTATAGTTCTTGTGATGTCCCACATCGTTCGAGGAGGAGAACGAAATATCTTTATAAGGGTGTGGAAACCTCTCCCTAGCAGACGCGTAATGGGGAAGCCTGTAAGGGAAACTCAAAAACCTTGAGGGGAAGCCTGGAAGGGAAAGCCCAAAGAGGACAGTATTTGGATGAGCACGAGTTTCGTTGTGTAACTCTAAAAAACGTGTTTTAAAAATCTTGAGGGGAAGCCCGAAAGAGGACGATATCTACTAGTGGTGGACTGGGTTGTTACATTTCTTCTTTCAGAACATGAATTTGTTAGCGACTGCTAACAGTGGAGACTATTTATGAAGTTGTATCAAACCATATGGATGAAATTCTATATTTCTAGCTCTCTCTCCAAACCGAAAGGGTTAACATTATAATTTAATCACTAGTTGCTTTGGGTGATTTCATGTGGTGTCCCTCATTGATCGGAGAGGAGAACAAACCACCATTTATAAGGGTGTGGAAACCTTCCCCTAGTAGACGCGTTTTAAAGCCTTGAGGGGAAGCCCGAAAGGGAAAACCCAAAGAGGACAATATCTGCTAGCGGTGGATCTGGGCCGTTACAAATGGTATCAGAGTCAGACACCGGACGATATGCCAGCCTTCTCGCTGTTCCTCGAAGGGGGTAGACACGAGGCGGTGTGCCAGTAAGGACGTTGGGCCCCAAAGGGGGTGGATTTGGGGGCGATCCCACATCGATTGGAGGAAGGAAAGAGTGCCAGCGAGGACGCTGGGCCCCGAAGGGGGGTGGATTGTGATGTCCCACATTGGTTGGGGAGGAGAACAAACCACCATTTATAAGGGTTTCCGGTGTGGAAACCTTTCCCTAGGAAACGCGTTTTAAAGCCTTGAGAGGAAGCCCGAAAGGACAAGCCCAAAGAGGACAATATCTACTAGAGGTGGATCTTTTAAAACGTGTGTATTTATATATGTTTCTTTGAACTTTTGCAGACGGCTACCAAGAAAGTTTCTGCTGTTTCATTATTCTTCGAGACAATGCATTATAGGTTGGATGAGAAAACTGGTTACATTGACTATGATGGGGTCAGTAAATGCTTCTGTACTATTTGAACGAATTGTATATTGATATTCCGTTGTTTTTCTTGAAACTGCAATCCAAATAATCAAAACTCATACGCAGATGGAGAGAAGTGCATCTTTGTTCCGACCAAAACTCATTGTTGCTGGTGCAAGTGCCTATGCTCGTCTGTTTGATTATGCACGAATTCGAAAGGTTTCTTCTTCCTTTACATGCCTATAGATTACAATTTAGAATATCGATTAGAAATCACGACTCTTCACAATGGTATGATATTGTCCACTTTGAGTATAAGCTCTCATGGCTTTGCTTCGGACTTCCCCAAAAGGCCTCATACCAATGGAGATAGTATCCTCACTTATATACCCATGATCTTCCACGAAATTAACCAATGTGGGACTCACTCCTAATAATCCTCAACAATATCTCCATCTGGGTTTTACTTTTAAACTTGTAACAGAACATTTGGTTGAATGTTGTGATAGATCTGTGACGAACATAAGGCAATCATGATGGCAGACATGGCACATCTTGCTGGTTTAGTTGCAGCAGACGTTATTCCATCTCCTTTTGAGTATGCTGATATTGTGACAACAACCACAAATAAATCCTTACGTGGACCACGAGGAGCTCTGATTTTCTACCGAAAGGGCGTTAAAGAGATCAACAAAAAAGGAGAGGAAGTAAGTGAGATCTTAAAAGAGAATGTTACTACTGTTAAGAATCACGAGTCTCCACAGTGGTATGATATTGTCCACTTTGAGCATAAGCTCTCATGGCTTTGCTTCGGGCTTCTCCAAAAGGCCCCATACCAATGGAGATAGTATTCCTCACTTATAAACCCATGATCTTCCATTAAATTAACCAACGTGGGACTCACTCCCAATAATCCTCAACAACTACTGCGTCTTTCGTGATTCTTAGGATGTAAATATAAGTTCCAAGGGAAAGTTCTTTGTTGTCTAATATTTTCATTACAATCTACGACAGGTGCTCTATGACTATGAAGACAAAATCAATAACGCTGTCTTTCCTGGTGTTCAAGGTGCCTCACACAACCAAAAACTAGCTGGCCTGGCGATTTCACTAAAACAGGTCAACACTTTCTTAGTTGTCTAATATTTTAGTGGCTAGTTTGTATCCTATTTAAAGCTTATGAATATCAATGACAACATACTTTCGATCCCAATTCTATTTCTGTTTCTCATTCTTAACGGTTATCTTTGCTAGATTTAGCTATCGTTTTCATTCGCTTTATTTCTCTTCTTTATCATGTTGCAATAGGCAATGACTCCGGAATACAAAGCCTACCAACAGCAGGTTCTCAGGAATTCTTCAAAACTTGCTCAGTGTTTGATTGAGAAGGGGTATGAGCTTGTATCTGGTGGAACTGATAATCATTTAGTCCTTATAGATTTGAAAAATAAGGTAAAGGGTGACTTCCTGTTAATTCTCGTCTAGATATTTTTGTTTATGTAGTGATGACAAATTAAAGATCCATTTGAAATGATTTTTCAAGTGATCAAAAATCATTCTGAAGCTAACAATCATCCCGAGTTATTTTCAAGGTCTTGCTTGAGGATTTATCGAACGTTTTTTAAAGTTCAATAACCAAATAAACACAATTTAAAGTTTAGGAACTAAACTTGTAATTTGACGTATTTTCAATAAATGTTGTCATTGACTTGATTTGGCAGGGTATTGATGGGTCAAGAGTCGAGAAGGTTTTGGAATGGGTTCGTATTGCAGCTAACAAGAACACAGTTCCAGGGGACGTATCTGCCGTGATTCCGGGTGGCATCCGTTTGGGTATGGCCTTGTTTTTGAAATTTTTTTGAAATTTTCTGATTGTTGGTCTTATTCGAGGGCTCTAACGGCCTTAAGAGAGGCTCTATAGTGTACTTTGTTCGAGGGAAGGATCGTTGAGGATTGTTGGGATGGACTCCCACGTTGGCTAATATAGGGAATGATCATGGGTTTATAAGCAAGGAATAGTATCCCTGTTGGTACGAGGCTTTTTGGGAAAGCCCAAAACAAAACCATGAGAACTTATACTTAAAGTGGACAATATCATACCATTGTGGAGATCCGTGATTCCTAACAAGTCTAATATCTAAATTTGTGTATATAGGAACTCCTGCTTTGACTTCAAGAGGCTTACTCGAAGCGGATTTTGCTCAAGTAGCTGAATTTTTTGATGAAGGTGTGAAGTTGGCCTTGAAAATTAAGGCCGCTGAACCTAAAGGTTGGTTCTCTAACATAATATCGAACAACTATCTTTTAGAATCCTTTGATATACTCAATCTCGGTTTTCAAATATTATGAACACAGGCGCTAAGTTTAAGGATTTCGAGACAACCATGAAATTAAATAAAGAATTCCAATTTGAAATCTCAAAGCTCCGACACGAGGTTGAGGAGTTTGCCATGCAGTTTCCAACTATAGGTTGTGATAAAGAGACAATGAAATATTGAGACGGAATAACGGAGTCGGGTTAGAACATCTCTCCCTAACTCGTTGAACGTTACAAACCCATTTTATAAGTACTTGAAAAGTCATTTTTAAATTGCTTCACAACACCATTAGATACTCAAAGTATTCCATTTGATGACCATCTGATTTTTAGTTTTGGGCATGTGTTTGCAGATATCTTCATTGTTAAGGTGGCTGGCTCCGACCCTCGAGCAAATATCCTTTCAAAATGATGCCCACCGGCCCCATAGATCTGTACGTTTCCACTGAATAAATGTTCATTACGAGCCGTCTTTTTACGCTGTTGATCTTAAAAACATTGTATAACCAAAATAATATTTGAGATAGAATTATTTTCTATGATTATATATTAATAAAGAAAATGGAAGTAGATTCTGATACCAGCCCACCGATCCTGTTGACCCTATCACGTGGCACACATGCAATATTCAACGTGCAGACGGGATTAATTATTGTAATTTTCTCTCTATTCTTAAAGGTGCAGACTTTCTCTCTCTCTTCATCTATCTCATTGTGCTCATCTTCATCATTCTTATCTCACGGTGTTCATCTTCTCCGTTGATGTCCTCATCTCGGACGTCGATCTAGCTCGTTGGTCACCTCTTTATTTCTCTGTCAGACTCTCTTCTCTGCTCCCATTTCTCCACTCGACTTTGTCGACATCGTGCGGATTGTCTCTCCACTCAGCTTTATGTTCTATTTCCATCGAACTTCTATGCTCTGTGTTTCTCGTCGAACTTTTTCGGTTGGCTGTAGTTTTTTCTCCGCTTCTTGTAATCCAAACTCAACCCAAAAAATAGAAGGTTGGGTTGGGTTGGGTTGGTTACCAATCCAACCATCTTGAGAGTTGGTTGAAAAAAAAATCCCTCAACCACAGACATGGACCATGTACACCCTAATTATAAATAACTATTTTTACCCCTAAACTAATTTCATTATTTAATTAATTAGAAAATATATTTGTGAAAAAAATTAAAATTAGAAGGATATTTTTTTAAGTAAAAACTTTTCAAAATTTAAAGAAATAATTGAAACTTAATTAAAGTTAGTCCCCTGTAATTTAACAAAAAAAAAAAAAAAAAAAAAAAAAATATATATATATATATATATATATATATATATAATTCATGGGTTAAATTACAAAATTAATTTCTCTAAACTTTTAAGTTTTATAAGAAATATTTAATAATTTCTTAAACTTCAAATTTATTTGAAAAAGATAAAAAGAAAAGAAAAGAATGGAAAGTTGGGAGTGAAAGTACGGTGACGGTAAAGCGAAGAAACAAAGACGTTTTTCCCTCCACAATTCATGGGTTCCCGCCATTATTATGTAATTCCTTCTCCTTCTTCCTTCCATGGCTTCCTTGCCTTCTGTTACCCTCACTGCTGCTCTCAACCTCGATTCCGGCTTAAGAAAGCGACATTCTACCAGCTTTTCCTCAACGATAAGGTACTCTTTTTGCTTGCTTTCGGGGGAGTCATGATTTTTTCTTTTTTGAAAATCCTCGAATTGATTTTACGGACTTCTGTTCTTGGTTTGCGAGATCGATCAGTTGAGTTGGAGTGTGAAACTGTGGATTCTGAGTGTTGGATACTTAATTTGTTCGTAACTAAGCGTATGGAATGTGAATTTAGCCTGCTTCGTTTTCTTGATCTGTCGATTTGTTGATTCTATGATATAGTATAGATGCTAGCGTGTCGTATTAGTCGCTAATCCAACTGAATGTTGATGCGGAGCCGAAGATTGTAAACTTGCGTGAAGCTCTGTCTCTGTTGAAAGAAGGTACGACGGCCAAAACTTCTTACTATATTCCTTTGTTGCAATGATGCATAGCCATAGACAGCTATTTAGTTGCAGAAAAGGAAATTATCCATGGACATATCGTTAAAACTGGGACATATGAAGACCTATTTGTAATGACGTGTTTTTGTTAATGTGAAATGTGAAATGTGAAATGTGGAGTCATGGAACATGCTCGCTAGGTGTTTGATAATTTTCCTAGAAGAAATGCGGTTGCATGGACTACTCTAGTGACTGGTTATGTTCAGAATTCGCAGCCTCTGCCTGCCCTTAAAGTATTCATCGAAATGTTGCAGACTGGGGCTTATCCTACAAATTTTACACTCCGAATAGTGTTGAATTCTTGTTCTTCCTTGCAATCTATCGAATCTATCGAATTGAGGAAGTAAGTTCTGTTAGGGATATTGTCCACTTTGGACATAAATTCTCGTGGTTTTACTTTTGATTTCCCCAAGAAGTCTCATACTAGTGGAGATGTATTTCTTACTTATAAATCCATATTAGTCGATGTGAGACTTCCCACCCACAATCCTCAACAATCCTCCCCTCGGACAAAATATACCATAGAGCCTCCTTGAGGCCTATGAAGCCCTCAAATAGCCTCTTAATTGAGGCTCGACTCCTTTCTCTGGAGTTCTTGGACAAAGTACTCCCTTTATTCGACACTTTAGTTACTTTTTTACTACACCTTCAAGGCTCACAACTTCTTTGTTGGATATTTGAGGATGTTATTGGCATGACTAAGTTAAGGACATGACTTTGATATCATGTTAGGAACCATGACTCTCCACAGTGATATGATATTGTCCTCTCTGAGCATAAACTCTTAAAATGGTCTCATACCAATGGAGATGTATTCCTTACTCATAAACCCATGTTCATCCCCTTAATTAGTCGAGGTGGGACTTCCTTCCGAACAATTCTAAACAAGTCCATGCATACATCATCAAATATCACATAGATTTGGTACTAGTATTGGCAACTCTCTTTCTAGCTTCTATTCTAAATTCGGGTGCTTGGAATTTGCTGTAAGGGCCTTCCAGAAAATTAAGGAAAAGAACGTCATTTCATGGACTTCAGGTCAAGCAGTTTGGAGTCCAAGTTTTTTTTGTCGAGATGCTCTCAGAAGGTGTAGAACCGAATGAATATACTCTCACAAGTGCTCATAGCACTTGTTGCCTGAAGCTAACATTTGATTAGTTAGATGAACACGTCTCTCTGCAATGGTATAATATTTCCCACTTTGAGCATAAGTTCTCGTGGCTTTGCTTTGACTTCCTCAAAAGGCCTCATCCCAATGGAGAGAGTATTCCTTGATTATAAATTAGCCGACGTGGGACTTTCATCCAACATCACTTACTAAGCATTGAGTTTGATTATGGTTCGAGCATACCTATAAAAAAATTCTATGCATTTATATCTGAAATGTGGATCGCATATTGAAGCTCAGAAACTGTTCGAAGGTATGGAAACCCTCATTTTGATTACATGGAATGCGATGATTGCAGGGCATGCAAAACTGATGGATGTTGCTGCAGATGATCTTGCAGCTCATAAGAGTGGATCCATAGCACTTAATATGCTCCAGAAATTATATCGCTCGGGTATGAAACCTCTCTCTTCACTTTCTCCAGTGTTTGAAGTGTTTATTGTAGACTAGTAACCTTAGAACAAGGGGTACAAATTCATGCTCTGATCATTAAGAGTGGTGTTTCGGGAGATGTTCTTGTGGGAACTGCATTGGTTAGTATGTATAGCAAATGTGGAAGTATTGATGAGGCAAGTAAAACTTACTCGGAGATGCCTTCTAGAACTTTGATATAATGGACTTTGATGATTACGGAATAACCAAGGCCACGTTCGGTGAAGGAAAATTTGGGGCTTAATGGATTTGTGATCTAAGATGTTGCAGAAGAAACCCAAATGAAATACGGATCCCTGTCCAAGTCCACTTTGTTTTGGTTTGGGTTCTCTAAAATGCCTCGTACTAATTGAGATGTATTCCTCTACGGGTAAACCTATGATCATTTCCTAAATTAGCCAACGTGTGATTCACTCCCAACGATCCTCAACAATTCTAACTCAAGTTATCATGAAAAGGACATAGAGGAAATAATAAAAAAGATCTGAAAAATGTGCAAGAAGCTCTCGAGGAAGAAGAAGACGTGAGCCATGAGGCGCACGAGGTGCGAGTGCCCAAAGTTGGGGCGCATGAATCAGCGTGTTGGGGGCACATGGGAACTTGAGCTTGAGCTTGTTATGATATGAGATATGTATGAGTATTCTTAGTCTATTAATCCCTACAAAACTTCTAGACGTCTTGTGTGTTAAGTTAGGAACCATGAGTATTCTTGATCTTCGTGCTATTTTAGGCTGCCAAAGATTTTAGTATATAGGTCGTATTTGATCGAGAATGAGTTTTAGATACGAATCCAAAATTTGTAGTAAGCATAATCAGAGCCAACAAATAAAGTTTAAGGTTAGCTAGGATACATTAACACTGATAAAAAGACCCTAGTAAATGAGCCTAAAAGACAACGTAATGGTTGGACCGAGGACCGATCCAAACCAAAAACCTATAAATAATCAATTACAAATAAAACTTATAATATACCTGAAAGATAATTAATAGAAATTATTATAAACAAGTTAGCTACTGATTAAATTAATTACTTACCAAATTATTTTTATTTTTCTTTCTTAATAGACGAGACATAATGTGATCAAGATAATGGCGTGGACGAGTTGGAGATTTCAGAAATCCTATCTAAACCCAAGTAAGTCTTCTTGTATTTACTTTTGCTTTGTTCTGGAAACATAGTGCCAAAAAGAGGTTAAATTTTTTCCTTTGCCACCAATATTCTTTATCATCGTCTTCTACCATTAAAACAAAATGTCACAATCATAAAACTCTTTTTCTAGAAAAAAACATTTGACAAACGTAGAACATGAACAGAATATTTAAAAGCTTCAGAATCAAATAAATTTAGGACAAATAAAATTTCTCAAACCTATCTATTAATATTCTTTTTTTTTTTTTTTTTTTTGACCTCTTTGACTTCAAATGAAGTGTTGTTAACACACATACATACATATATATATATATATATATATATAATATAATATACATATATGTACACACGCGTAAGCCAGAAAACTAAGAAGGAAGCAATAATTTGGGTTGAAATTTACATTAGACTTCTCGACCATGAGCTTGAGTCGGACCCTGTTAGGAATAACGACCCTCCACAATGGTATGATATTATCCACTTTAAGCATAAGTTCTCATGATTTTGTTTTGAATTTTCCAAAAGATCTATGAAGATGTATTCCTTACCTATAAACCCATGATCATTCCCTAAATTAGATAATGTGAGACTCCCTTCCAACAATCCTCAACATATCCTCGAAACAACTAAAAAGAACTTTAAATGTAAATACATGAATCAAACATTAAAACTTTAAATTTATTTATTTATATATTTATCATTTTCAAATTTATTCCAAATTTACCTTTCAATATTTTGACCAATTTAAAATATAAAACCGTTATGAAACTTTATTAGAGAATTTTATTAAAAATTAGCAACTGACTCTCGAATATTAAAATATATTTTAATCAAATTTCTATCTTTTAATTAAAATAATATTAAATCCATTAATTTTTATATATTGTTTTTAATGACAAAAGTATTGAATTTAACGAAATGTTCTAAATTTTTGGGAATCAAAGGTAATTTAAAAAAGGAATTGGAGGACTAGAAAAAAAAATCTCAAATCTATCCATTAAAAATGCTTTCTAATATCTCCCATAATCCCTATATATATATGGAATGAATTAGTTAACATTATAGTAAAAGAAAAAAAAAACAGTTTATATTTTTTAAAACATTTTTCATATCGGTGGAGGCAATCGCCGGCGGAAACCAATGGCAATGTTTCTAAGAAAAGTCGCCGTCGGCGTTACGAAACCCAACGTTTCTCCGGTGAATGGGCGGTTCCTCCTCCGTCACATGGTGGTTTTCTCTCTCCTCGCCGCTAATTCATAATATCTATGATTTTTCTGTTTTGATGCCCAAATTTTCCGTCGGTTTTCTTTGTCCGCAGTCGTCTGTTTGCAGGTCCACGGCGGAGGAAAGGGAAGCTCGAGCTACGGTGAGCACTCCATTTCTATGATTTTCTTTTTTTAAAAAAAAGAAAATTATATTTATTTTATGTCAAAATTGTTGATATTAATTTAATTAATTATAAATATCATAGATAAATATTTTCAATTTTTCAATGTGTGTTTTTCTTTTTTATTTGATAAAAATCAAAATTTAAAATTAAACTAAAAAGAAAAAAAATATTATGTCTATATTTTTTCATATGCATAAATAATTTAACATTCCCATTTGAGGAGACTTTCATCCAACAACACCTCCCCTCGAACAAAGTAAGACTCTTATTTATCTGAGGCTTTGACTCTTCTTTTGGAGTCCTTTGTTCCACATTTGAGAATTCTATTGATATGACTCAGTTTAGGGCATGGCTCTAATATCAAATTAGAGGAACACGATTCTCTATAATAGGATGGACAATATCAAGTTAATCAAGTTAGAAGAATACGATTCTCCATAATAGTATGATATTGTCAGGCATAAGCTCTCGTGGGTTTGATTTAGAATTTTTTTTTTCTTCCACTTTTGCAGTGGATTAAGCAGCTGAACTCCCCCATGGAGGTCATTGCTCCCGATGTGGCAGACATCATTGAGCTTGAGAAAGCTCGTCAATTCCAGGTTTTTTTTTTCTTTTTTTGTTTTATTTTTTAATCGAAATGGTCGGTTGAATTGAGTTGAGTTTAGCTTCAAGTCGTTTTTTAATTTGAAGGGTCTTGAGCTTATACCTTCCGAGAATTTCTGCCCAAGAGCAGTAATGGAAGCAGTTGGTTCGATATTGACCAATTCATATAGTGAAGGATATCCGGGTGCCAGATACTATGGAGGAACTGAGTCTGTCAATCAATCTATTTCAATTGTACACTACAATTTCCTTTGTTCGATTCCTGTTTGAATTAATTACAAACCCAAAATGGATTTAGGTACGCTGATATCATCGAGAACTTGTGCAAGAAACGTGTGTTTGAAGCTTTCCGTTTGGACCCTGCAAAATGGGGAGGTATCATAATTGTTCATATCTTATTATTATGATCTTTTCTTAGTAGTGAGCTTAATGGGTATCTTTATGTCCTAAGTTATGTTAGGAAACACGGATCTCCACAAATGGTATGATATTGAACACTTTGAGCATGAGCTCTCGTGGCTTTGCTTTGGGCTTCCCCAAAATATCTCATACCAATGGAGATAGTATTCCTCAACTTATAAACTCATGATCTTCCACTAAATTAACCAACGTGGGACTCACTCTCAATAATCCTCAACAAGTTATGCTAGAATTTCCCCGAGTTTCTTGTGATTCAGCTGCACATTTGCAAATAGTTTCAGAATTTTCTCAATATGAAGTTGATTAACTGAACATGTTCTTTTGTTTGTAGTTAACGTGCAGACTTTCACTGGATCTATAGCTAACTTTCTGACATACAGTGCATTATTAAAACCTCACGAGAGGATAATGTCTCTTGATTTACCACATGGTGGACACCTTTCGCACGGTTATCAGGTAGGTCCTTAATTTTTAAATGTAGTACATGTTAGTTTTTGGTTTAGTTACAAATTTGTTCGGGAAAAGTAGGCAAAGTTTAAACTGAGTTACTATGATCTTAAAAATTATGAACGTTTCCTTTTAGATTTTCTTCGTAAGAAACCGAACTATCATCGAGAACATGAGCTTGTAAGTGATTTCATATTTGTATATGTTTCTTCGAACTTTTGCAGACTGCTACCAAGAAAGTTTCTCTTGTTTCAATGTTCTTCGAGACAATGCCATATAGGTTGGATGAGAGAACTGGTTACATTGACTATGATGGGGTTAGCAAATGCTTCTGTACCGTTTGAATGAATTGTATACTGATATCCTATTGATTTTTCTTGAAACTGCAATCCAAATAATCAAAACTTATATGCAGATGGAGAGAAGTGCATCTTTGTTTCGACCAAAACTCATTGTTGCTGGTGCAACTGCCTACGCTCGTCTCTATGATTATGCACGAATTCGAAAGGTTTCTTTTTCATTTGCTTGGCTATAAATTACATTTTGGAATATCTCCACGAGGGTGTTACTTTTACATTTGTAGCATAACATTTGATTTCGTCGTGACAGATCTGTGACAAATATAAGGCAATCATGATGGCTGATATGGCACACCTTGCTGGTTTAGTTGCAGCAGACGTTATTCCATCTCCTTTTGAATATGCTGATATTGTGACAACGACCACAAATAAGTCCTTAGGTGGACCACGAGGGGCTTTGATTTTCTATCGAAAGGGCGTTAAAGAGATCAACAAAAAAGGAGAGGAAGTAAGTGAGACGTAAAAATGTAGCCAAAAAAACAATTTGAGCATAAGCTCTCGTGGCCTTGCTTTTGGCTTCCCAAAAGCCCACATAAATCCATGTTCTTCTACTAAATTAATTAAGGTGGGATTTACTCCTAATAATCCTCAACAATCCTCCCCTCGAACAAAGTAGTACATTATAAGCCTCCCCTTAATCGAGGCTCGACTCCTTTCTCTAGGGCTCTCAGACAAAGTACACCCTTTGTTCGACACTTTAGTCATTTTTTACTACACCTTCAAGGCTTACAATTCTTTGTTTAACGAGGATTCTATTGACATAGCTAAGTTCAGGACATGACTTTGATATCATGTTAGAAATCACGACTCTCCACAATTGTATGATATTGTCCACTTGAGTATAAGCTCTCGTGACTTTGCTTTGGGCTTCCCCAAAAGACCTCCTACCAGTGGAGATAGTATTCCTCACTTATAAACCCATGATCTTTCACTAAATTAACCAATGTGAGACTCATTTCACTAAATTAACCAATGTGAGACTCACTTCCAATAATTCTCAACAAGGTGCTCTACGACTATGAAGACAAAATCAATGGCGCAGTCTTCCCTGGTTTTCAAGGTTCCCCACACAACCATAAAATTGCTGGTCTGGCGATTGCTTTAAAGCAGGTTGTTTATTTAATTCAAAACATCCTCGGTAACAGAATTAAATTGTTTTCATTCATGTTATTTCTGTTCTTTACCATATTACAATAGGCCACAACTCCGGAATACAAAGCCTACCAACAACAGGTTCTCAATAATTCTTCAAGATTTGCTCAGGTATACAGACTAGTGCATGTTTTTCTCACTGCTTTGAATTCTTTGCTTAAATCAGTGTAGTTTACTGTGTCAAATTCATTGTTTATGCAGTGTTTGATTGAGAAGGGCTATGAACTTGTATCTGGTGGAACTGATAATCATTTACTCCTCGTGAATTTGAAAAATAAGGTAAAGGGTGACTTCTGGTTCTTCGTTATAACTATTATACTTCTCATCCACGTATTTTTCCTTATGTAGTGATGGAGATTACAATTTTATTGACGGTTTAACTAATAGTAAAAATCTATTTGGAATAACTTTTCAAAGCGTTAGAAAGTCAGTCTAATAAAGCATTTAAAACTTTAAAAATTTAACCGATGCTTTTAGATTAAAAAAAATTGACGAATGAGTCAAGCATCTCTTATTTATTACTGAAAATTCAATAACTTATTGATTACAAAACTAAAAGTTGAAGGACGGATTAGATACTTTTTAAAATTCATGACTTTGAAAAACAAAATTGGAACTTCAAAGGATTTATCATACAAGTTTAAAGACCAAAGAGACACAAATTTAAAAGTTTGGGGACTAAATTTGTAATTTAATCTATTTTCAACCTAATACAGGGTATTGATGGCTCGAGAGTGGAAAAGGTTTTGGATTGGGTGCATATTGCAGCTAACAAGAACACAGTTCCAGGGGATGTGTCTGCCGTTTCTCCGAGTGGCATTCGTATGGGTATGACTTTCGAGTTCATGATATAAAATAATATGTCATGTAATAACATATCAAATACTGAATAAGAGTATAGACTATGGTAATACTATAAATTTTGTGTATAATAGGAACCCCTGCTCTTACTTCCCGAGGCTTCCTCGAAGCAGATTTCGTGAAAGTAGCTGAATTCTTTGATGAAGCTACGAAACTAGCCTTGAAGATTAAGGCTGCTGAACCTAAAGGTCAGATTCTCGATCGTAACAAGTATCAAATCTGCATTAAAATATACTGAACTCTCACATCTCACATTATTGTCCATTTGTTGGCTCGCTATCTTTTAGAATCTTTTGACATACTCAATCGTGAATGCAGATGCTAAGTTAAAGGATTTTGAGGCAACCGTGCAATCAAATAAAGAATTCCAATCTGAAATTTCAAAGCTCCGACGTGAGGTTGAGGAGTTTTCCAAGCAATTTCCAACGGTAGGTTTTGAGAAAGAGACCATGAAATATAGAGACTGAAGAACAGAGTTTTATAGGCACCTGAGTCGGGTTAGACAGTCTGCTAATAAATGGCAGCGGTTCGTTAAAACCCAGTACTTGAAAAGTCATTTTAAATTTGTGTTAGTTGCTCAACCGTTTATATGCATAAATAAATGTCTTTTGTGAACCGTCTTTTTTGACTTTACACTCTTGATCTTAAAAATTTAACATAACCAAAATCTCGATATTACATGGAGTGTAATGAATTATTTTCTATAGTTGTATACTAATAAAGAAAATGGACGTCCAAAGGGTAAAATTAATATTAATTGGAGAGTAAATGTAACAACATGTTCATGATTCGAAATCCAGATTTGACACTTGATGGCTCAGGCTTTTCCTTATATCCCGTACGACATGGTTATGTTACTCTCTTTGACTCAAGTGTTACATACCCACTAGCTTCCATCTTGGATCATCCCAAACCACATTTTACTGGGAGAGGTATTACTATGATATAGATTCGGACGAATTCAATGACCCCACGCATCAATGTCAAATGATTCAATATTCTATTAGCCAAAAAATAAAAGAAATTCATGGAATGTATTAAACAAAAAAGATATTAATAATAATAATAATTAAAAATTAAGTTTTGAAATGATAAGGATATAAATTTAATTAATTTATTAAATATTTTTAAAATTTTAAATGCACACAATTATTTTAATCTTCTATAAAAACAAAATTTAACCGCAGAGGTGAACGGGAATGGGCGTGGAAGTAGCAAAGAGGCCGTTCCCTCCACAATTCATGGTGTGCGGATTAGATTGGATGGGGAAAGGATAAACACCCCGCCATTGTTATGTAATTCCTTCTCCTTCTTCCTTCCATGGCTTCCTTGCCTTCTGTTACCTTCACTGCTCCTCTCAACCTCGATTCCGACGTAAGAAAGCGACATTCTACCAGCCTTCTCCTCAAGGATAAGGTACTCTTTTTGCTTGCTTTCGATGGAGTCATGATTGACTTGAAATGAAAAATTCTTTTGAAAATACTCGAATTGATCTTACGGACTTCTGTTCTTGGATTGTGAGATAGATCAGTTGAGTTGGAGTGTGAAACTGTGGATTCTGAGTGTTGGATTCTTAATTTGTTCGTAACTAAACGTATGGAATGTGAATTTAGCCTGCTTCGTTTTCTCGATCTGTCGATTTTTTGATTGGATGATATACTGCAGGGTGCTAGCGTGCCGAATCAGAAAAATCAGTCGCTAATCCAACTGAATGTTGACGCGGAGCCGAAGTTTGTAGACTTCCGTGAAGCGCTGTCTCTGTTGAAAGAAGGTACGACGGTCAAAACTTCTTACTATGTTCCGTTGTTGCAAGAATGCATAGACAGAAAATTAGCTGCAGAAGCGGAAATTATCCATGGTCATATCGTAAAAACTGGAACTCATGAAGACCTATTTGTAATGACGAATCTTGTTAATGTTTATGCGAAATGTGGAGTTATGGAACATGCTCGCAAAGTGTTTGATAATTTGCCTCGAAGAAATGTCGTTGGCTGGACTACTCTAGTGACTGGTTATGTTCAGAATTCGCAGCCTCTGGTTGCTCTTAAAGTATTCATCGAAATGTTGCAGGCTGGAGCTTATCCTACAAATTTTACACTCGGAATAGTGTTGAATGCTTGTTCTTCCTTGCAATCTATGGAATTGGGGAAGCAAGTTCATGCATATATCATCAAGTATCACTTAGATTTTGATACTAGTATTGGCAACTCTCTGTCTAGCTTCTATTCTAAATTCGGATGCTTGGAACTCGCTATCAGGGCCTTCCAGAAAATTAAGGAAAAGAATGTCATTTCATGGACTTCAGTTGTATCTGCCTGTGGTGATAATGGTCAAGCAGCTCGGAGTTTAAATTTCTTTACCGAGATGCTCTCAGAAGGCGTGGAACCGAACGAGTATACTTTCGCCAGTGTCTTGAGCACTTGCTGTGTGATGCAAACGTTGAGTCTAGGAGCACAGATTCATTCACTAAGCATTAAGCTTGGTTATGGTTCAAGCATACCTATAAACAGTTCTGTCATGTACTTATACCTCAAATGTGGATGGCTTATTGAGGCTCAGAAAGTGTTCGAAGGTATGGAGACCCCCAATTTGATTACATGGAATTCAATGATTGCAGGGCATGCAAAAATGATGGATGCTGCTGAAGATGATCTTGCAGCTCACAAGAGTGGATCCACAGCACTTAATATGTTCCAGAAATTATATCACTCGGGTATCAAACCTGATCTGTTCACTTTCTCCAGTGTTTTAAGTGTTTGTAGTAGACTAGTAGCGTTAGAACAAGGGGAACAAGTTCATGCTCAGATCATTAAGAGTGGTGTTTTGGCAGATGTAGTTGTGGGAACTGCATTGGTTAGTATGTATAACAAATGTGGAAGTATTGATGAGGCGAGTAAAGCTTTCTTGGAGATGCCTTCAAGAACTTTGATATCATGGACTTCGATGATTACGGGACTCGCACAACACGGTTTGTCTCAGCAAGCACTTCGGGTCTTCGAAGATATGAGACTGGCTGGAGTTGAACCAAACAAGATCACTTTTGTGGGTGTTCTATCAGCTTGTAGCCATGGTGGTTTGGTGGATGAAGCACTGTATTACTTTGAAGTAATGCAGAAGCAGTACAAGATTGAGCCTGTAATGGACCATTTTGCATGCATGATTGACATGTATATGAGGTTGGGTCGGGTGGAAGAAGCTTTTGATGTAGTCAAGAAGATGAACTTTGAGCCTAATGAAATTATATGGTCCATGTTAATTGCAGGATGTCGAAGTCACGGGAACTCCGAATTGGGGTTTTATTCTGCCGAGCAGTTACTCAAACTCAGGCCGAAAGACGCCGAGACCTACGTCTCTCTGCTAAATATGTACATCTCTGCAGGGAGATGGAAGGATGTTTCCAAAGTGAGGAAATTAATGACAGAAGAAAAGCTTGGAAAGTTGAAGGACTGGAGCTGGATTAGCATCAAAGAAAAAGTTTATTCATTTAAACCCAATGACAAATCACACCATCAAACTACAGAGATGTACGAGCTGTTGGAGACTTTACTCGACGAAGTAAAACCTCTTGGTTACGAGCCTGTTCAATATACAGAGGCAATCGAAGAGGAGAACGGCGAGGAAACAGTGTTCTCGTCCACCATTTATCACAGCGAAAAGTTAGCTGTTGCTTTTAGTTTGTTAAACCTGCCAACAGCTACCCCGATTCGGGTTGTCAAGAGCATCACCATGTGTAGGGATTGCCATAATTTTATCCGATTCATTTCATTATTGACAGGCAGGGAAATCGTCATCCGAGATAAAAAGCAGCTTCACAAGTTTTCGAACGGATACTGTTCTTGTAGAGGTTTCGGAGATCTTCTCTAATGTCCTTGGTGAAGAACAGGGTGAGACACGAACTTAAATTTTGTCAAACCTAGCGACATTGAGCTGTCGAAATATTCGTATGAAGCTGATTTCAAGACAATTTAATGGCAACACCATTGTTCCTTCTTTGTATAGATGACAAGGGGTAGGTCAGCTAATTTGGAAAGAGATTTTAACAAATCTAGATGATGGTATATACAAATACTCATACAAATTTCCTAGGATCTGTTCTCTTCTGGCTCAAAGAGCAGCAAGGTATAAGTAATTAAAGACCGTAAACATATCTTAACATCATACTGTTTTGGTCTTCCTCTGGTTAGATAATATGCTGTTTCCAGCCTTGATGCACACGAAATCAGCGTTTTTTAGTCTTGTTCTTGGCGGTTCTTGGTTTGCTGGTGTCGATTGAAGGTTTCCAGATGATGTCTTCAAGATTGCTATAAAAGCTCTTGTAGAACTGCGACATTCGACGACGAAGTTTCAATATATAAGATAAGTCGCGTATAATCCTTAAGCAGATGTTGATTGACATTCGACAACCGTAGGCAATGTGAAGAATCTATTATGACATACCTTGAGGTACTCGCTGGTTTCCCCAGCTGCTTTTTGAATGTCCACCATAAAGAACGTGGGAGCAACTTCAAAAATCTACAGGAAAATGTTTCAGATCAAAGTCGAAGAACAGAAAACGGTAACGGTTTTAGTTTTTGTGCGAAAAAACGAGAAACATACTTCCATAATAACTGAGAAATAAGAAGTCTTGCTTGCTGATGGACCTTCTACTCTCATCTGACATTCACCAGAAGCTTAGTTAAGAGATTAGAACACCGGAGGGGCCTGCCTTATTCCTAGTGTAATCCGTGTACATAGAATAGTGTGGATAACCGGATAGAATGATAAGGATGTTAGGAATTACGACTCTCCACAATGGTACGATATTGTCTACCTTAAGCGTAAGCTCTCGTGACTTTGTTTCGGCTTTCCGAAAAGGTCTCATACCAATGGAGATGTATTCCCCACTTATAAACCCATGATCATTCCCTAAATTAGCCAACGTGGGACTCCCTCCCAACAATCCTCAACAAAGGATTCACTTCAAAAAGATTACCTTGTAATTGCGAATGTGTGTCTTGAAACCCATTGATTGAGCTACAACTTCCATAGTTGATAATAAAACCTTTGCGGGCTTTTGGCAGACGAAGCGTGTCGGGTGCTTCATAGTATCCTACCATAATCCAAAGAAATTCAACCTTCAATTCTCGAGAAAGATACGCATACCGTACTTTCTTATACCAACATGTTGTAAAATGATCCGAGCATGATATAGTCAATCAGAGATAAAGGACATATATGCTTAATGTTGAGTCGGAGTACAAGTTAACAATTTGTAACAAGCTATTCGAACCTCCGGATCTCCGAGAAGGAGAATATGTCAATTATCAATGAGTTATAACCGTGTTGACAAGTGAGGCTCTTTAACATGGGAGGTAAGTTGACCCTATTTGGCTACATATTTTACATGAAAATAAGACGTCTAATAAAACACCCAACCATACCTGGCCACGGTCAAACATCGTTCCGAGGTTTAAGCCTTGAGATAGAATTATTAAATCAAATGCATTAAGGGCGAGCGGGCTCATGTCCTCGTTACCACGTTCTTCTTCGGTCCTTTGTTCCTATGTACAAATTTTGTGAGTCAGGAAAACATGTTGATAATAACTACAGCAACAGTAGAAATCGATCTCAAATTCAATAAAATATGATTGAATTGTTAAATCAAACTCATCATTTTTATTATCGAATTGCTTGAAAGTAATTCAAGGCTTAGGAACTGAAGTTATTATGGCTATGGTACGGGTGAAAGGTCACCAAAATAGGACAGAATTGTTAGCTAATCTTCAAACTTGACAATACCCAAAATCCTAGTTCACATAGATGCCAATATAGTACCCAAATCCTTACCGACCTCAGGATCATCGAAGACAGCATTTACGTCATCCAGATTTACATCTTCATCTTCGAAATGTTTGACCGAAACATAATTTTTCATGAACCACTCGTCCTCTCTGATCTGCTCAATGGTAATACGCTACACGGAAGAAAACAGAACTTATCAGACAGTACAAATACTCGAATAATGTGCCTGCTATCAGTTCATGTACCAGCCCAAGCTCACCGCTAGCAAATATTGTCCTCTTTGGGCTTTCCCTTTCGGGCTTCTCCTCAAGGTTTTAAAACGTGTGGAGAGGTTTACCAGGAATGTTTTATTCCCCTCTCCAACCGATGTGGGATCTCACAATCCATCCCATTGGGAGCCTAGCGTCTTTGCTGGCACACCAACCGATGTCTGACTCTAATACCATTTGTACCAGTCCAAGCCCCCCGCTAGTAGATCTTGTTCTCTTTGGGCTTCCCCTCAAGGTTTTAAAACGCGTCCATTAAGGAGAGGTTTCCAAGAAATGTTTCGTTCCTCTCTCCAACCAATGTGGGATCTCAAGTTCATAAGACTAACAACAAGAAAACAATATAGAGAGGCAACAACACTAAAAACGTGATTCCGTGAGCTATTAAAGAAAATAGTGCTATCCGAGGTTACTAATTGATTTGTTACTAATATGATATAATAATGCTGCAGTGCTGAAATTCGCAAGCCCATTAATAGAACTAATAATCATAATGTTTGCTACATCTATTGCCTCAAACGCCATGTCACAAAGAACATTGATCTCTCTTGGTAATTTTTGTAGACATTTTTTAATTAAGTAGCTGAAATGCACAGCAGAAACCATGAACTATTTCTTTTTTTCATAACATAACAGAAAATTGAAGTCATAGAGAATGTTCGAGTGCTTATGCATAGAGGACGTCATGTCAGGCAATCCATACTTACAGTTGAAGGATTGGGGTCAAATATTCTATGGATCAAAGCTTTTGCCCCCACAGGAAACCAAGATGGACATGAAAATTCGGCTCTCTCAATCTGCAGAAGGCAAATGACAGTGTAAGTCGAGCATTGACATGCATGTTGATTGTAGAGAAATTCACAAGAATTAAGATCGATTAAAAATAAAGAACCTACGAGAGGCCCTCGCATCCTGATTTAAATCCAACCAAAATTGTAATAGCCCAAGCCCACCGCTTGTCCTCTTTAGGTTTTCCCTTTTGGTCTTTTCCTCAAGGTTTTTAAAAGGCGTCTACTAAGGAGAGGTTTTCACACCCTTATAAAGAATGTTTCGTTCCCCTCTTCAACCGATAGAGGACCTTACAATCCATCCCCCTTCAGGACCCAGCGTTCTCACCGGCACTCATTCCACTCTCCAATCGATGTGCAACCCCCAATCCACCCCCTTCGAGCCCAGCATCCTCGCTACTACACCACCTAGTGTCTCGCTCTGATACCATTTGTAACAGTCCAAGCCCACCGCTAGCAAATATTGTCCAACCAAAATAGATGACAAATAGATTGTTGTATAGCTAAGTGCTTTCACTGGTTGATCTACATAGTTGGAACTTTTTTTTTTTTTTTTTTTTTCCACAAGAAATCACTCATCATGCCCTAGCGTTGATTGCAATTTACTCCCAAGATAGATGTTGATAACGTCTCAATGTTTCAATAGAAAATGCAGCGTAAAAAGGTGAAAGTAGATTAAGGATAATATGACAAAATGTTCATGCCTTACTATATAACGTGGTGAGATCAAGCTCATCAAATGGAAGATATCCTGCCATCAACACATAAAGAATTACCCCACAGGACCAAACATCTGCCATAGCCCCATCATAACCCTTGTGATTGAGCACCTACATGAGAAATAAAATGGTTGAGAATCAACCCAAAATGCAAGCTTATAAATGAAATCACCAATTTGTGTAAATTTTGGTTTAACAAGCTTTTAGATACCAACATATACCTCTGGTGCTACATAGTTTGGAGTCCCGCATGTCGTACGGAGTAGGCTAACTCCCTGTAAGTAAATACAATCAACTATCTGTTGTAGTATCTAAAAATTACATGAGAAGTCAATTTCTGGGTAACTAAGAACCATTAAAATACGTCTTACTTGTTCGGGCAATGCACTCAGGCCAAAATCTGAGATCTTTAGATTACCTAGGGAGTCAAGTAGCAGATTTTCAGGCTGCTTGAAAAAAGAAAGAAAATGATGAGATTCTTGTTTTTCCTTCTCCAATTATCAGAAAGAATATTTTCTTCAAGATCTCAGCCAATAGAAATAGTCATACCTTTAAATCTCTGTGATATACTCCCTTGCTGTGGCAATAATCTACACCATCAATTAGCTGTTGGAAATATCTCCTCGATTCAGCTTCACTAAGGCGTCCATGATGAACCTGCAGAATATGGATTACATCATGAACTATAGAAATACAAAATAATTAATAGTTTCAAATTTTCAAATGGCTCATCTTCCTTAAATAAGGCTTCTTTATTTGAATTACTCACTATTTTGTCGAACAATTCACCACCAGTTATGTACTCCAAGATTATATAAATCTTCGTACGGCTTGCAAGAACCTAAAAGCCAAAATAGATTGTGTAGCCAGTGTTAAACAAGAAAAAGGACGTTCAAACTCAATGTCTAGAGAAGAGGCAGAATAATAATTGAGAATAGATACTTCAGAAATTTATTCCATGCCTCATGAAGACGAACAACATAAGGGTGCCTCACAAGCTTCATGATAGAAATCTCCTTCTTTATCTGCAGAATATTAGTAACAGTTATAGGAAGAAGCGCATGAAATTTTACATGATCAAATATCGAAAAAGATTAAGACGAAAGACTAAGAATGTAGCTTGCAAAAGAGAAGTATGAAGAACATTAGTAGGACAACTTGAAACATTAAAAGTTAGAAGCTTATAAAATAAACATGTCTAGCTCAATCAAGGATTCATCTAAAGAATGTTACATTGTTTTTCAAAGATGGTGTCCGTGTATGAATTCGTTCTTACGACCGCTTCGTCACTGACCAATTATTAGCACTATTCAAAATAAAGGTACAAAAGCTACAGACAGACAAGAGTTCACATCAAGAACAGTAAGATTCCCCGTCCGATAATGTTTCCAGCTTTATTCAACAGTACAAAGTAGCAAGTCATTTCCCTTCATCCGAAGATCAAGACATCAGTACGTTATTTTTCCTCTTCTTCAACATAGTGATTGAAAGCGGCTACGTGAGGGATAAACAAGGTTTTCACGTCTCAATTCACTGTTGGTAGAGAACCCCGAGGATGATTACAGATGAAGACCATCCGAATCCTTGAGCTCATTCATTGCTATTTACATTCACTATGATACTAAATACAATCTAATTTACAAAGAGAATAAAAGTACGTAGCCGGAGCGTGATATCAGATAATCGATATCATTGAAGCATGTAATTAATCACAGCCAATATCGTTTTGATAGCTAACTCTGAAACATTTTAACTCTATACACGCTTAATTTCATTATCTCAGCTTGAATTGATAGCTGCAGTAGCTCAGAGAGCGACGGAATTGAAAACATTTTGCGGCGCAGAAATGATGCAGTCATATAAAGCAAATTACGGAGGCGAATTCTCCCTATTTCACTCCAGTTCACAAATTTCCATTTCTCCGCACAAAGATTAGAGAGAAGATACAGACCTGTTCAACCATCTTGTGCTTGATTATGGTGCTCCGATCGAGAACTTTCATAGCAACACTCCCGCCAGTCTCAGTATTCTGAGCGAACTTCACCTTCGCAAACGTACCTTCCCCAATCGTCCTCCCGACCTCGTATTTGCCGACTTTTCTAACCACCATCTCCGCCGTTAATCTCCTCCGCTCCGGCAGCAAAGATCCTAATCTCTAGAACTCGATCTCAGCATTTGCACTGTGCTTTACAGAAAAGCTTCGCTAATCAAAGCCCTTTCAAAGAAGATCTACCGCTCGCAAACGTGAAAAATGCATAGAACGAAACGAAATTGTGGAGGTTGGTGAATTGATTTCTTCTTTAGCTCTTGTTGGAGAAAGGAATTTGATTCTTTATTTTACTCTTCTAAACCAGTCTATGAAGATGTGAAACTGTAACTTCAAAGCTGCCTGCTGAAATATATGACTTTTTTAACATTAAATATAAATTTGTGAGAAATTTAATTTTAATTCAACACAAAAAGAAAAAAAAAAAATATATATATATATATATATATATATAATTTTTAATCGAAGGAAATTTCTTTTTTCCTGGATTCCAGGAATTTACGACAAGAAAGGAACATTTTTTTCTTAATTTTTGTAATTTTCTAACCAAACAAATATAAAAATAAATAAAAATTAGGATCTCAAGATTTTTTCTTTTTTTTTTTTTTTTTTTTTTTTGGAAAATAGACTTCAATAAATTGAATATTATTCATATATTTACATAATTTCTCAACCTTTTTATTTTTATTTTTTATTTTTTGAGTTCATATTTAGAAATTACTTTGGAAAAAAAAGATGCTAAATTGTTCTCTTTTTAAAAAAAAATAATAATAATAACGTTAGATTTTAGTGTCTAGATTAATTTATTTACTTAAATTTAATTGAATTAAATTAAATATTTTTCTCCAATGTATATAAAAAAAAAATAGTATAATGATTAAATTTGAAATAATGTATTTTGTGATGAGTTGCATCATCAAATACGTCACCTTTTATAAAAAAAATGTTTATAACTAAAATGTTGATACCACTTGTCAGAATCACACTTTTGATAGCAACGACTTGCGATTGTGCGGCACTCATTTTCCAACGACAAAGTCAATTCATTCTTACGTCACCTACGATCAAGAGACGTATGCTCGAGCCTTTGACCTCGGTTTAAGAAGGTTTTAGAAAACGATGGCAGAAAGAGATTTTCGAAAGAGAGATTTTGAAAGAGGTGTTATATATGCAAGCAAGAGAGCAACAACAACGGCTCACGGTATATAACTATTAATAGGGAGAAGTTGACAAATGCATTTTAAAATTGTAAGACTGACGGCGATACGTAAGGAGCAATAGTAGACAATATCTGTTAGCAGTAGGCTTGGATTGTTACAAATGGTATCAGAGCCAGACATCAAGCGGTGTGCGAGTGAGAACGTAGAACCCTCAAGAATGGAATACATAATGAGCTAAAATAGACAATATTTACTTACAGAAAATTTAAGTTGTTACCAAAGTCGATGGGTTCGGGTAGGGTTGATGTTTTTATTATTATTATTATTATTAAGAAGGAAAAAAAATAGAGCACTAAAGGTAGATGGATGAGTTGTGGAGAAAATGAAAAGGAAATGAGGATGGTCTCCTTAGTTGGCACTCGAAACCTAATTTCTTTTGAGAGGAAAGCAGCAAGGCAGAGAACCAAAAAGGCCCACTTTTCCACTTCCCTTCTATTCCATATCTCCCATCATCATGTCTCCCCCCACTAATCAAATATGCTTTTTTTTTCTTTTTTTTCTAACCTTTAAAAAGTGTTAATAATGTTTTAATAGTTTAATTTTATATTTAATACAAGTTAAATTAACCCAACAAAAAAAAAAAAAAAAAAACGTCTAAACCATGTGTTTGTTCTCCCCTATATCAGCTAGCAGTGGGTCTAGGTCGTCACAAATGGTATCAGAGCTAGACACCGGACAATGTGTCAGCCTTCTCGTTGTTCCCCGAAGGTAGGTAGACACGAGGTGGTGTGCCAGTAAGGACGCTGACTCTAAAGGGGGTGGATTTGGCGGGGTCCCACATCGATTGGAGAAAAGAACGAGTACCAGCGAGGATGCTGGGCCCCGAAAGGGAGTGGATTGTGATGTCTCACATTGGTGGAGGGGGAGAACAAACCACCCTTTATAAAGAGGAGCAGACGCGTTTTAAAGCCTTGAGGGAAAGCCCGTAAAGAAAAGCATAAAGAAGACAATATCGGATAGCGGTAGGCCCAGGTCGTTACATTAATAGACACAAAATTCAATTGATCAGACAAAAATATATGTACTCAACTATATACTCTCAAACAGATTTCCCACTGGTGGGACATGGGCACAAAGAGTGGTTTATGATGATTCTATTATATTCTATTATACTAAGCTGAATTTCAATCCCTTCCAATCATCGGTCTTTCTTTAAAATATTCAAAATCATACCTGATGAGGTGGTGCTGACCAAGTTGTCCTGTCCTGTTCTTCCCATGTTCTCCATCTCACCCTGTTTGTGTTGATTCCACTGATCGCCTCCCTTCATTTCTCTGCAATTCATTTCTCTGCAAATCTTACTCAAATATAGACGCTCAATTTACACAAAATTAGGCATCAAAAGTTTGTGGTCAAGCGGAACAGTATGTTAGGAGGGCCTGCGGAGTTTCTACAGCACAGAAACAGTGGAGAAGGCTCATGAACAGTGAGGGGACACAGGGAACGCTGTTCCTCGAGGTCAGATTTTTTTGGTGGAAGGTGTTGAAGATTGTTGGGAGAGAGTCCTACATTGGCTAATTAAGGAGAAGACCATGCATTTATAGGATGTGGTATAAACAAAGAAGTTGATGGCCTCGAGGGTGTAGTCAAAAGTGACTCAAGTGTTGAATAAACGGTGTACTTTATTCGAGAACTCCAGAGAAAGAGTTGAGCCTCGATTAAAGAGAGAGTGTTCGAAGGCTACATAAGCTCTAGAGAATGCTCTATGATGTACTTTGTTCGAGGGAGGAATGTTGGGGATTGTTAGGAGGGGGACTGTTCGAGGGCTACATAGACCCAGGGGAGACTCTATGGTGTACTTTGTTCAAGGAGAGGATTGTTGGGAATTATTGGGAGGGAGGATGTTCGAGGGCTACATAGACCGAGGAGAGGCTCTATGGTGTACTTTGTCCGAGGAGAGGATTGTTGGGAGGGAGTCTCATACTGACTAATTAAGGGGAAGATCATGGGTTTATTGGTTTGAGGCCTTTTAGATAAAAAAAGATCAAAACGACTCGAGCTTATGGTCAAAGTATACAATATCATATCGTTGTGGAGGGGTGATTCACAACCGAAAGGAAGGACAAAAAATGAGAAATTAGTAGGGACAAATGGCTACCTAAACACAGCAAATCCCTTCATTTTTCATTTCAATATAGACATCAAGCAGTGACGATACATATTCATAAACCCACAACTCCCATTTATTATACTAAAGAACAATGAAAAATGATTTTATAAACCAGAGGCTTTGGAAGGGTTAATCGTATTACCCTCCGGATTGTACGAGCCTCCACCACCGCCACTGGGTCTGCCATTTGCCGCCACCGGAGCCGTGGTCTGATACGGTGGTGCTGTGGTAAAGTAAACATGTCTGCCAGTGTTGTCATACGCAATCTGAGCGTAACCTGCCTCATTTACCGCAATTTTTGGCTGTATCATTTGAAAACCTTCTGAGGTGTACACCCCAACATTTGGTTGTTGAAGAGAAGCTTGTGGTGCCATCGAACTGTGAACCTGGGCTTCATGGTATGCGGCATGCATTCCATAATAAGGCTGGTGCCCAACTGGTCTGTTGATGGGTCTGAGCGTCTGAGCTTGAAATAAACCCCCTGCAGTGGGGATTATATATACTGACTGGTCGATCGGTGGAGCATTGGCCACTGGAAAACCACCGGAGATCATTTGCCTCTCCGGGAAGTATGCTGCAGGTACTGGCATTTGTACAGGCGGAGGAACAGCCGCCGGTGGTGGAGGTTGAGAATTGCCTGCAGAAGTCTTGGAGTTGGTCTCATTGCTCTTTCTCTCAGTCATCATTTGCAATCTCTGCAAGTCCTGAAACTCCAACGGAAGAACAACAGGTCCTCCGACCACCTGACGGTCTTCAGATCCACAATCAGATCCCGCAGAAACGCTATACACCGCCGTAGTCGACACGGTATCTATGGCGGTCGAATCCTTCAAGTCAGAGCCAGGAACCAAACGGTAGCCATGATCAAATCCAAACAAGAAATCAGGATTCGATGCCGATGCAGTAGCATCCACAGGCGGCGACGAATCTTCTAGAGGCTGAGTCCGCGAAGAATTCAGAGCATCGACAAACCACTGCCGATCCGATTTTGTATCCCAGGAGCCTAAAATCGTCGAGGCAGGTGGATTTAAAGGGAACAGAAAAAGCCTCAACCTCGCAGGCTTCAAAACACGATATAACCGGTCGTACTCCAACATCATATGCTCAAGATCCTCATCGTTGGTTACAGAAATCAAAGCATCGAGATCTTCACCAGGGAGTTGGTACTTTAAACAAACAGTAACATCACAGAGAGAGGATAACCTGGAGGAAAGCGTGGAGAAACTGATATTACGATCGACCGTAAGAATCTTGGTGTCGCCGCCGGTGTAGGTAAGTTGATTGTCGTGAGGTCTGGGATGAATCTTGCCGCCATAGCTACACATGAACTTGACTTTGTAGTTGTGAGGAACATTTCCGGCGTTAAGGTTGGAGGAAGGATCATCACAAGAGGGGTTTTCGCAGGAACGGGGAGAGGAGCCGCGGGAATCGGCATAAGAGGAATAGGAGTGGTTATCCATTGGAGGGAGAATTGAAGAATGTTTGAATATGGAAAGGGAAGAAGAAGAAGAAGAAGAGGAAGAAGAGGGGTTTAGGGCTTGGCAGCCATTGGAGATGATGAGAGAATTTGGGGGAGAAACTGAAACTGAAACTGGAAATTCTGTAACGGCCGAGAGACGAGGAGGAAGAAGAAGGGAGACGGAGGTTGCGTGCGCGTAAGAGTTGCGGCTCCTGTGGAGCCCACCAGACTCATATAGTTGGGTCCCACCGTTAAGGCGCGCGGACGGCAAGTAGTTTGACAGCGATGTTTGTGCGGATTTCTGATTTGGAAAATGTGAAATGTCGGTAATACCCTCACTTAATATAGAATGGCTTTTTAATTTTAAAACTAAATATTTATTAGTACTATAAAGACCAAACATATATTTTTTTTAATAATTTTTTAATATAATTAAAATTTCAAAAAAAAAAATCGTATTTCAAAAATAATTTTATCTAAAAAATACATTAAAAAAAATTCTATAAAATTTTTAAAATAACGTTAACATCTCCTAACTTTATTTAAAAAAGAAGTTAAAAATTTTATTGAGATGAAAATTGTCCATCAATTATCTAAAAATATTTTAATGTTAAAAAGTTTATGAGTATTTTTGAAACCGTAAAAATATTTTAGAATATTTTTAAAAAATGTTAAAATAATTTTAAAATTTTTAAAGGTATTAATGAAAAATTTGAAAACCCAAGGGTATTTTTGGACTCTTTTAATAGTAATATTGAAATTTATGGATATTTTGTTTAGATAAAATGAAAATTTTGTGAGCTATTTATATGCTAATCCAAGCGTAGCCCACCTGAGCGTTGGGATTGGGCCTAATATTGGGCTTGGGCCTGATATTGGGCCGAACTTGTTTTTCAGTCACGTTACGAAATTTGGGCTGGATACTTCCGAGACTGTAAGCCCACTAGGAGCAAAAACCGAGAAGTTGTGGCGGGCTAACAAGAAGAATGGCCCAATTAAAATAACAAAAGTTTATACAGTTAAAATTACCAAAATACCCCTTATTTAAAAAATGAACAATAAAATAACTCACCGTGAAAGAAAAACCCTCAACAATTTCAAGGACTTAGTCGTACAAAATATATAATATATATATATATATATATATATTTTTTTTTTTTTTCCAATTATTAAAAGTCAATTATTTGTTACCAATCGTTATCAATAGCCGATTTCAAAAAATAAAAATTAAAAATTAAAAATTTCACATTTCCTTGTGATATTGTCATACAGAACCCACACGAGTCCTTTCAGGATACTTTATATTCACTCACATTCATTCCATGAAAATATCTAGGAGGTCACCCAACATATTATCGTTTCAAGTAGAGCACGTTTAACTATAAAAGTCTTATAATTAAGCCACAAAAAAGAAAGGTGCATCTTGTTAGTATAAGTCCCTCCTAGTCATCCGATCCTCCCGCTCGCTCTAATTCAAACGGCACATGGCTCAGAAGCAAACATGAGGCATGGATTTTAAAAAAATTTAGATTAATTAATGTTTTATTTTTGGGGCATTATTTATTTTTTTAAATATATATTAGAGTCAAAATGTAGCGGCCCCTGGTTTTTAGGGTTTTTTTGTTTCTATCTATGGATGCCTCCTACCCATAATATATTCCTCTTTGAGCTGCCTTCAAAACCACGTTAAACTTAAAACTAAAGAAGACATAATAATAATAATAATTTAATGGTGTATTAAATTAGTAGGTCAAAACTTTATGCGTAGCCCGAAAGAAATGGGCGAAGGTCTAGTTGAGTGTCGAGGCAAAGATCGTAGCCCGCTAGTAGATATTGCCGCTTTTAAGTCATGATTTGTTCTTTTCTCGCAACCCACTTAGGGACCCAATGTCCAAGCTAGCACATTGCTCGGTGTCTGGCTTTTATATCATTTGTAACAACTCAAACCCACTGCTGGTAGATATTGCTGCTTCGGCTCGTTACGTATCGTCGTCATCCTCACAGTTTCTTAAAACACGTCTAATAGGGAGAGGTTTTCACGGTCTTATAAGGAATGTTTCGTTCCCCTCTCCAGTCGGTGTGAGATCTTATAATCCACCCTCTTAGGGCCCAGCGTCTACTAAAGAGAGGTTTTCACGTCCTTTTAAGTAATTGTTCTTTTCTACAACCAATGTAGGATCTTGCAACCCATCTAGGGACCCAACGTCCTCGCTGACATGTTGCTCGGTGTTTGACTCTTATATTATTTGTAATAACTCAAGTCCACCCTAGTCGATATTGTCCGCTTTAGCTCATTACGTATCGTTGTCATCCTCACAGTTTTTTAAAATGTGTCTAATAGGTAGAGGTTTCCACGCTCTTATAAGAAATGTTTCGTTCTCTTCTCCAACCAACGTGGGAACTCACAATCCACTCCCCTTAGGGCCTAGCTCTACTAACGAGAGGTTTCCACACCCTTTTTAAGTAACGTTCCGTTCTTCTCTCCAACCAACGTGGAATCTCACAATCCACCTAGGTGCCCAGCGTCCTCGCTGATACACCACAATGTCTAGCTCTAATACCATCCATTTGTAACAGCTCAAACCCAACACTAGTAGATACTGTCCACTTCAGCCCGTTGCGTATCACTATAACCCTCCTGATTTTTTTAAACAGGTCTATTAAAGAAAGGTTTCTAGACCCTTATAACAAATATTTCGTTCCTCTCTCCAACCAACGTGGGATCTCACAATCCACTTATGTGCCCAGCGTCCTCACTAACACACCACCATGTCTAGCTCTAATACCATCCATTTGTAATAGCTCAAACCCAAGACTAGTAGATACAGTCCAGTTTAGTCTGTTACGTATCATTATAAGCCTTACGGTTATTTTAAACGGGTCTACTAAAATAAGGTTTCTAGACCCTTATAACGAAGGTCGTTACTCTCTTCAACCGACGTAGGATCTCGCAAAAGTTGAATAGACGGGTGGAAGGAGGAAGGAACACAAGAAGCTTCAACAACTCCCATTGCATTATCAACCTTGTCCTTAAACGCCAAATATAGGGTACCCAACCCTACACTTTCCCTCAAAAAGCTCCACTTTAAACTGTAGCTACCTCTCTTCTCTTGCTCATGAATCAGAGCTCTAGGAACTTGGATCCCCCACCTCCCCCACCCCTTTCTTGCTTCATATCCAAACAACCCACTACAAGACGACACTTCTCTCTCTACATTTTAGACCGAGAAAATGCCGGTTTCTGGTTTTCTTTCCCTTACCCACATCTAATGAAACCACTTTTGATCGATGAGAGAGAAAACCCCGGTTTTGGTTTGTGGGAGAGCCCTGCAATTGTAGGGTCTTTGTCCCTCTCTCTGATGGTTATGGGTTGGATTCGATTGGATTGGGGTCTCGTGATCCACTCATGTCCTTATTTGACTCTAATTCTTAATCAAGTTTTCTTTCTAATTTTGTGCTTATTTTTGTTTCATTCTTTAAATAGGCTTCCCTTCTAACTAATCTAGGGTGTTTTTGGTAATTCAACCAACCACTAAGTTACTCCGAGCATCGTTAGCTTACTCTTTGCAAGACACGTGGAATCTCGTGTGAATCTGTGATGTCCCACATTGGTTGGAGAGGAGAACAAATCACTTTTTATAAGAGTGTGGAAACCTTCCTCTAACAGACGCATTTTAAAGCCTTGAGGGGAAGCTCGAAAGGAAAAGCCCAAAGAGGACAATATCTGTTGGCGGTGGATCTGGGCCATTACAAATGGTATCAGAGCCAGTCACCGGACGATGTGTCGGCCTTCTCGCTGTTTCCCGAAGGGGGGTAGACACAAATAACCTTTATAAGGGTGTGGAAACTGTGCCGGCCTTCTCGCTATCCCCCGAAGGGGGATAGACACAATCACCCTTTACAAGGGTGTGGAAACTTTCTCCTAACAGGCGTGTTTTAAAGCCTTGAGGAAGCCCAAAGAAGACAATACCAATTAATCCAGTTGAGCTGAGTTGGGTTTATTATTTAAAAAATTTATAAACCGAACCATTAGGTTGAATTCAAAAGATATTTCATCCGAACCCAACTCGACCCATAAACACACCTAATTATCCGTTAGTTAGCCATAATTAGGGTGTTAATTACAATTAGGATATTAATGATTAATTAAGAAAAGATAATAGTAGGGTAGATGCATTAGATTTAGGCATTGTAAATTGTAGCTAGAGTCATCTCTTGTCTCCCTTTCCCTCTTCACATGTGATCACTCAACTCAATCACTTCTTGTCTCATTATTTTTCTTTTTTTTAAAAAAAAAAAAAAACTATTTTTGAAACGGTGTAATATTGTTTATTAAGATTAATTTACTCGTGTCGAGTCAGATAGGACCCGACCCAACTGAATAGGTTTGTGAAATTTAATTGGGTCTGATCGTAGCTTCGAGTTTAAGCGTCGTATCGTGACAAGGTTAGAAAGGAAAGGGACTGCAAATCTCCTGCCAACTTTTTGCCACTTGTTTGAAGGAAGTGCAATTTGATTATGAAGTGGACTCGATCGAAATGAGAAAATTAAGTATATTATTGAATTATAATTTTTCGAATCGGTTCGTTCGGATCAGGGATATAATTGGAATTTATCTTAAAATAATTTAATATTTATATGGGGCATTTAAGATGATTTAATTTATAAAATATCGTTTATTTAAATTTCTAAAAGTTAATTTCTTTTATTAATCAATTAAACGACATAAATTATTAAATTAGAAATAAATAAATAAATGTGGCATTTTTTATTAATTATTTAAAACAGAAAAATTAGTCGGAAGCAGTCGAGCCTTCAACAGAAGCCACGTGTCCCAACAAGAACTCCATGTCACTTTCTATATCCGAGTTATTAGTTTCTTTTTGTGTTCTTTTTCTTTTTCACGACAAAATTATTATTTTATTTCTAATTTAATTTAATTAATTTACCTATTCCATTATTATTAAATGATTAAAATGGTTTTTTTTACTCTTTTTATAAAATAAAATAAAATATTTAAAATTCATAATTAATTATTTCGATGACGAAACGTAATGAAGTAAGAGCTAGAAAGTAAGGGTTTGCCTCTCCCGAGTTAAATAATAGCACCAACATAGGTATGGCCATACTTTTCTTCGACCTTTCTGATAAAAAGTTAATATCTAAGCTTAAAATGACACTACCGTATGCTATAGCATGTGAATATTAGATTCCTTTAGGTCAAGCTTTTGGTACTTTCTTGCCGTAACCATGTCTTATTCCGAGAGTACATTACTGTTACTATGACTTTTTACTTACGCTTTACAAAAAATACTTTTGATCGTTGATCTAATTTATGAACGCAATAATTCAGTTTACAAATTCTGAAAGTTTGAGTATATGCTGTTAAATTCAGATGTAAAAATGGTTGCTGACCCTGTTCGATTTATGTAAAAATGGTTTCGTTAGCAGATACTGTCATTTTTTAGCTTTTCCTTTCGGGTTTCCTTTCAAAGTTTTTAAAACACGTCTACTAGGGAGAAGTTTCCACATTCTTATAAGAAACGTTTCGTTACTCTCTCCAACCAATATGGGATCTCACAATCTAACCCCTTGTGGGTCAACGTTCTCGCTGGCATACCGCCTAGTCCTAGTTCCCCTCTCCAACCAATGTGGGATCTCACAGTCCATCCCTCCTTAGGGGTCAGCGTCCTCATTAGCACACCGTCCCGGTCCTGGCTCTAATACAATTTATAATCGTCCAAGCCCACTACTGGCAAATATTGTATACTTCTGCTCGATACGTATTGTTGTCGGGCTTACGATTTTAAAATGGTCTTAAAAACCTTGACGGAAAGTTTGAAAGGAAAAGTCCAAAGAAGACAATATCTATCAGCGGTAGGCTTGGACCGTTATAATAAAACTTATTTTGTCCATCTCGAGTTGGTTTATAAATTAAAAAATTTTATAATAAAAGTTTTTTTTTTTTTTTTTTTTTTTTTTTTTTTTTTTGTCACTTTCACCCACGTAGGGTAAAAGTGTCAATATCTTGGCTTTAAAAGATTCTTTACCCTTTTCCTCCCTTTCCTTGTTGAACCCTTCTCACAAGAACGGAAGAACGGTTGGATGAAAAATCCACGTTGGCTAATTTAAAAAACGATCATGGGTTTATAATTAACGAATACTCTCTTCATTGGTACGAGACATTTTTGGAAGCTGAAATCAAAGCCACGAGAGTTTATGCTCAAAGTGGACAATATCATGTCATTGTGGAGAGTCGTGTTCATCTAACATGAACATTTTCAAAATGAAAATGACAGAGCCACACGCCGGCAATTTCCGGCGAGCACTGCACAAGAAAATGTTCGGTTTGAAAAGGACTGGTTTATAAAATTCGTAAAGTTGGGGGGCTAATGGGTAATTTTGTTATTTATTTTTTAAATTAATTTTATGAAATTAAGTGAGTGAAAATATAGGATTTAAAATGAAATAAATGATTACGAAAGGTACAATAATTAATGTTGGGCATAAGAATGTGCATTGTTTTTTGTTTGCATGTTAGGCGTTAATAAATTATATTATATTTTCCTATTTCTGGTACATTAAGCACGTGAATTAGAAAGAGAAAAAAAACAATATAAATTCAGGACCTAATTATATAATTATATACTTTAATTAAAATTCCAAGTAGGGCCCAAATATCTAAATACGACAAAAGATTTAATTATCCATTGTCCCTTGTGTTTGGGTATTTATGTTATTCCATTTTTTCTTTTTAATTTAAATTAAAATTTAATTTTGTATTGAAAATATAATGATTTTACCACTTTTTATTAAAGAATAATATAATAAAATTAAAGATATTAAAAAATAAACCTTTCTTAAAATAAAAAATTTGTAAATTTTAAATTTATAAACCTATTAAATGTTTTAAATTTGGAGGGCGAATTCACTTATATTCAAAATATATATATAGTATCTTGTACATGAACCGGTGGCTCACTTTTTCTAAGTAATGGGGAAGAGGATCGAAACAAGCCACTGAAAGACTCTACTGAGATAAAGATGGGCTGTCAAGAACATAGAGGAGGTAGAATGGGCAGTGGTCAGATCTAGTATGGATCGTACGTGGACGGTAGTTGGAGTTGGCGGCTCTCTTAGGGTTCCCTCATCTGGGATCCTTGGGGAAGAGGAGGATCAAGTTGGCCCTTGCGAACAACTTGATGCACTATCTCCCTTCAACCCTTTGAGCGAAATGCGGCAAAAGGAAGGAAAATCCATGGACCGACCCCATCATCTCCACCCCGTAGGAACTACGAGATCACTCCAAGGACGCCTTCGATATCCAGGGGTCGCGGACCGACCATAGAACCCCGTATATATATAATTTTGATATATATTTTTTTAAAATTAAAATTTTGATCCATAAATTAAAATTTCTCTTAAATATTTTAAAATTTTGATGGCCAATTTTACTTTACATATTTGAAATTCTGAAAAAAAAATTTAATTTATTGGTTTTTAAATTAAAATTTATGTCTATAATCTATTAAACACTCGCTTATTAAATATTTGATAGATAATTTAATTCACATATTTAAATTTGTAAGAGAAAAATATTATTTTAAAATTTGTGCTTATTAATCTATTAAACAAAAATAATTAATTAAATATTTTAAAAATTGGAGGGACAAAAATAAATTAGCTTTAAATAAATATTAAAAGACACGTCCATTTATCGTAAAGAGATATAATTATTGTGATGATTTTTTTTTTTTTTGACATAATTAAAGAATTAGGCCTTTTCACTTGTGCCTATATATATAAACTCTATCCGCTGCAATTTCTATGCCGTCCAGGTACTTTAGAAAAACCGCCATTAGAGAGGAAGAGAGAAAGCTTGAGGCTGAGAGAGAGATGGAGCTCGATGAACACGGCTTCTTAGAGGAGTTGATGGCTCTACGAAGAGAAGCAAATTGGGACGCCATTCCAACTGAAATCACCGATCTCAATGCTTGGGCGTTCGATTACTGTTTTGATCAGAACATTTCTAATGTCAACCCAAATTCTTCATCGGAACCTCTATCGACTCAGAACCTGGATGAATTTTATCATCCTTTGGCAAACGAGTTCTCAGTTCCAGAAATGGCCGATTCCGCCTACGCCGCCATGGAAGTAGCCGCGCCTCTGCCATTTCAAGCAGAGCGTCCGAATGTGGAGGGAGAAGAAGAGGAAGAGGAATTAGGTTTTCTCGCAAACGAGATTCAGAACATGGAGGCGGTTCATGTTCAATCGGCTTGCAAAGCGGAGCCGAATCAGTCTCCAGAACTCCCCGTTTTCAACATTGGAACATGCGCTCTCGAACGGAAGAACGGACCGAAGAAATTACAAGGCCAACCGTCGAAGAATCTGATGGCTGAAAGAAGGAGAAGGAAGCGCTTGAACGATCGCCTCTCAATGCTCAGATCCATCGTTCCTAAGATCAGCAAGGTAAAAATCAAACATCATCTCTACGAATCTCAATTCCAGAAACGCTCGTAATTAATCTCTGAATCGAAACCGAAATTAATCTCTACGAATCGAAACCGAAATTCCAGAGATTAATTTTGTTGCCATTAAAACTCGAAATCAATCTCGGAGACTTGAATCGAAACCGATTTCTGGTATTTGAACAGATGGACCGAACTGCGATTCTAGCAGATGCAATAGATTACATGAAAGAATTGCTGGAGAAGATCGGAAATCTGCAAAGAGAAATGGATCGAACAAATCAAACGACTAGGAATTCATTCCACGACACAAAACCGAGCGAATTCGTAGTGAGAAATTCACCAAAAGTAACACTACTTTTTTTTGGCTTTGATTTTAAAAAAAACACTCGATTCATTATTGCTGCTGTGAAACTGATTTGGAAAATCGTTGGCGTGCAGTTTGAGGTGGAAAGCAGAAACGGAAACACGAGGATCGAGATTTACTGTGCGGCGAAGCCAGGATTACTGTTATCGACGGTGAATACGATCGAAGCATTGGGGCTTGAGATTCAACACTGTGTAATCAGCTGCTTCAATGACTTCGCATTGCAAGCCACTTGTTCGCAGGTAATTGCTTCTTCATTCCTTTTTCCCCCATCTTCGGCTAACTGTTCATCATTTCTTGTCAATTTTCAGTTTAGTCCTCCATTTTTCCATTAATTTCCCCTCAGGTCCTTTCAAAAGTATATGATCAAATTAATTAAATGGTCAGTTTATTAATATATACGAACTTGCATTTCTAGATAAATTAATTTATTCATGTAAATAATAGAATTCGAATAATATGTTTATTTGTTTGAATATTTTATATAATTTATTATATATTTTTTCCTTTTTTATTATTGGTTGACTAAATTTGTAAATTTAGTGCCTATAATTTGTAATTATTATAATAATTTTAATTTTTCTAAAATGGATTTAATTTGTTTAATAATTAATTTTGACTTGAAAATAGGAACTGAAGCCTGAAGAATTGAAGGAAGCTTTATTTAGAAATGCAGGCTATGGAGGAAGCTGCTTGTAGAAATTATTTATTTTATTTCTTTTTTTTCTGCTAAAAAAATTATGTTAATGTTCCTAATTAGAAATTAATTAGTAAGCAAATCTCTGTAATTTCGTGAGGTTTGCAATTTTCTCATCCCAACCCCTATTTCTTAATTTTAATTCAAGTGGGATGATTAATTAATTTTTCTAATTTTTCAGTTTTCTGCCTATTTTCATCTAAAATTAATTATTTTTAACGTTTTAATTATTCAAAAGGGTTTTTTTTTTTTTTTTTTTTTACTTTTTAATTATGTGGTTACATAATTTGTCGCATAAAGAAACAATAATGGAATCTAATGATAGATAATTAACCTAATTTAATTTTTATCCTTTTTTAAAAAATATGAATTTAATCGCATTAATAAAAACAAATATTAGCTCCAAAAATTAAGAAATTACAATTTTAAATTTAGAATTTGAAACAAATAAATATTATATAATGAAATAAATTTTGCCTAAAGAAGATTTCCGGCCTTGAAAAGCCCATTAATAAAGTGGGCTTATCCACGCCGAAAGCCCAAATATGATAAACTTTGCAGTCACCGGTTGGTTCTGTCCAAGGCGATTGAATCGTTGGTCAAACCAGCTGACAAAAAGTTATGACAAACTTTGATATTATTTTTATGATCGACGAGTAACTGTAACTGCTCAAGCCCATTGCTAGCATATATTGGCCGCTTTGGCTCGTTACGTATTTTCGTCAACCCCACGTTGCTTTGGCTCGTTATCAGAAGTGCTTTTCTCCCCTACAAATGTGGGTTGTTACAGTAAACCTCTAAAAGATGTTAAAAATTATACAATAATTTTTAAAATGAAAAATAATTAAGATTGAAAAATGGGAAAATTTTAATGAGATTTGGGAAAAGGAGAGAAAAATAAGTTTTATTTTAATAAACACTCGTGAAAGAACATAGTCATTAAAAAAGAAGCACCCAAAATAAAAATAAAAATAAAATGATTTAAATTATAAAAACAAAGTCAATAAATAAATAAATAAAGTTCATAGTTGAGAAAGAAGAGTATAATGATTATCATCATTATCAAACCATCTTTTTCATTAAAAAAAATGCATGAAATTTATAAATATTAGTTTTGGAAAGTCATTAATACATTATTTTAGAAATACTTTCCATTTTTAATAGTATGTCAAAAATAAATAAAAAAATAAATAAAATTTTAAAAAGTTACATTTTAACTGTTTTAAAAAGTTAAAAAAATATTAAGTAATACTATATTTTAAAAATACATAATTTTTGAAAAAAAAATAGCACTAATACAATTTATTTTTTATGTTACTTTGTGAGTATTTTGAAGTATGTTATTAATGATTATTTTAAAATTAATAGCTTTATATAAATTGAAATTGATAATTAATTTTGTATTTTAAATTAAGTCCGTACATACTATTTTCACAAATAAATTTATTTGTTTTATCATATCTTTTTTACGTTATAAAATATAAAAATTAAAAAAAAAATCAAAATAAAGAGTCGAAGTAGTTTTATTCGCAGAAGAATCAGAGGCGTTGCAGTGAGAGATCAGAAATGGAGAATCGTACGAAAACGCGCCGAGATTTCGGATTCTGTTTCTTCAACTTTTCATCTAACACACAACAAATTAAACGCCTCCGAAGACGAAGAAGATGAAACCAATACGAAAGCAATCCGGTAAGATTCCGATTCCGATTTCGATTTCGATTCCGATTCCGATTCCGATTCCTTAGGGTTTCTTGCGTGGATTCGGTCGTGATCCGATCATGAAGGCGCATAGGTTGCGCTGATGCTTTCCGGAATGGGATCAGATAGGTGGCCGCGCACGCGAAGAGAGGGGGGAGGGGTTTGCGTGCATGCGCACAAAGTGTTTGTCGTTTGGTCTGAGAGAAAAGGAAGGCGAAATGAGCGGAGAAGGTACGGTGGTGGTGATGGATGGGATGTCATGCCAGATTGCAGCGCGCGCGCGCGCACACGCAGGTATAACTTATCTCTTCGGCTTTGTCTTCCATTTTTTTTTTTTGTTGCATATAATCGAGTTCGATATTAAATTGCTATTACCGATTCAAGTTCATCGCTGGTAGATATTCTGCGTTTTAATTTGTTACTTGTTGTTCTCATCGTTTTAAAACGTGTCTGTTAATGAGAGGTTTTCACACCTTGAATGTTTCGTTCCCGACCGATATGAGAACTCACAATTCACCCAAGCCCAATGTCCTCGCTTGCACACGTCTTGGTGCGGGTATTGTAATACCCAAAATTCAATATTATATGTTTTGATCCATTATATATTATCACCATTCTCACGAATTTTAAAATATGTCTGCTAGTGAGAGGTTTCAACATAAGAAATGTTTCGATCCCTAATCCATCCCCTGAGACCCAACATCTTTGTTGGCACACTGCTCAACGGTTGATTTTGATACTATTCAGAGATATTATCCACTTTGGTCCTGTTAAATATTGTCATCAATGCACTGTTTTAAAACGTGTTTGCTGTATAGAGGTTTTCACGTAAGGGAATGTTCTGATTCACTCTTTAACTGATGTGTAATCTCACAATACATCCCCCGGGACCTAGCATCCTCATTGACACATTGCTCGATGCCATGCTCTAGTACCATTTGTAACAGCTCAATTTACTGATAGTAGATATTGTCCACTTTGATCCGTTACGCATTGTCATCAGCTTTAAAATGTGTTTGCTGTAAAGAGGTTCTCACGTAAGGGAATGTTTTGATCACTCTTCAACCAATGTGTAATTTCACAATCTCATCCCCTAGGGCTAGCATCCTTATTGACACATTGCTCGATGCCTAGCTCTAGTACCATTTGTAACAACTCAATTTACTGTTAGCAGATATTATCCGCTTTGATCCGTTACACATTGTCATCAGACTCACAGTTTTAAAACGTGTCTACTAGAGAGAAGTTTCCACGTAAGGGAATGTTTCAATCCGCTCTTCAACCAATGTGTAATCCCACAATACATCCCCTAGGGCCTAGCATCCTCATTGACACATTACTCGATGCCTGACTCTAGTATCATTTGTAACAGTTTAAGTTTATCGTTAGCAGATATTGTCCGCTTTGATCCGTTACGTATTGTCATCAGCCTCACAGTTTTAAAATGCGTCTATTAGAGAGAGATTTCCACATAAAAAAATAATTTGTTCCCCTCCCCAAACGATGTGACATCTCACATTCTTACGATGGCCCGTCGATTTTCTTTTTATGATCGAGATAAATATATTTTTATTTTTCCGCGCATACAATATTTATAAAAAATGACAGTCACAAGTCATTCAAATATTTTTCTTTTAATAATTTATTTTATCGATATATTAAAAAAACAAGGAATTTCCAACAAAGAACAAATATAGATAAGATAAGTATTCCTCTTCCACAAGCAAAAATAATATTAAATAAAAAAACAAATTCCGCACGTGGCCTTGCACGTGCTCCGACAAAAGGGTCGTATTCCATACAATAATTCCACTAATCAAACCATTTTTGGACTTCAAAATGGCCAACAATATGGTCCCATCCCATCCCCATCCAAACCCATATGGAACTCAAATTAAAATTTCAATTTGGTTTTGGGTGTCTCGTATATTTTGGTAATTTGCTAGGAATATAATTTCTTTTTAATTCTATTTAAATAAAAAATATATATATCTTCCCGAACTATTCCAAGAGATTATATTAAAAATAATATACATCTAACTTAAAAGATGCCCACAAGGTGGAACATGACGGGCCTCCTATTTCAATCGTCATCTCCACAAAATTTATCATTTTGTGGGGATGGGCAGGACGGAGATGGAGACGAAAAATATAATTCTCGACCCATCCCTATTTAGCTAGTAGAAAAAATATATCCATACTATGTTTTTCATTACACGTATAGACGAAGATTCTCCACCCTATAGATTAGCAAGCGCGTTTTAAAGCCTTGAGAGGAGGCCTGAAAGGAAATGTCCAAAGAGAACAATATCTGCTAGCGATGGGTTTGGGTGGTTAGAAATGGTATTAGAGCCAGACACCAGGGGATGTGTCAACGAGGAGGGTGTTCCTTGAAGTGGATAGACACGAGGTGGGGTGTGCAAGTAAAGAGTTGAGCCTCGAAGGGGGATGGATTTGGTGGGGATCCCACATCGATTGGAGAAAGGAACGAGTGCTAGCGAGAAAGGTAGGCTGTGAAGGGGGATGAATTGTGATATCCCGCATTGATTGGAGAGGAGAACGAAACATTATTTATAAGGGTGTGGACAATACCTGCTAGCGGTGGGTTTGAGTGTTACGAATAAAATTAATATAATAAGATATTTTAATATTATTGTGTATTAAAAATAGAGAGGAGTAAAATGAAATAAGAGAGAAAGTTAGGGGCTAAAGTGAGAATTAATTAAATAAGAAAAGCTGGAATTGGGGCGAAATTTGAGGGGATAATGATAAAGATTAAAAATGATGGGGGCATGAATTGCAAAGTTTAGGCGTTTGAAAAAAGGAGCAAAGCGTGCAGAGACAGTCTCAGTGGCAGTTAATGATCCTCCATTAAATACTCAACCTTCCCCCACTTCTTTGCATCCGCGCGTGCTCCTCACTCTCCTCAACATTTTCATTATATTCTGATTTAAAACGTATATTAATACTAAAAAATTAAAAACACGTTTAATAATATTTTATAATTATTTTAATTAATTTAAGGAAAATAATTAATGGAGCGCGTGGAAGAGTGGGAGAGTCGTAGTCGCGTTGCGAAGCCGGCAGAGTGAAACTAAAAGCCGCTTTCTTGTCCCCCAAATGCATCATATTGCTTTTCCTTTGCTCCTCCGCTGTTCCCTCTCCTCTCATTTTCCTCCCTAACCAAAAATTACCAATATACCCTTCCTCTCCATTTATTTTTATAATTATGTTTAAATTATTTAATAAATTTCATACTAATGTCGGCATTCTATTGGCGTGGAAGTGGTTTATATTTTCAGTAATTAAAAAAAAAAACAATTTTATAATTTCCTATTAAGAGCCTGTTTTTTTCGGCAAGGTATGAAGTGAATTTCCATTTATACCCTTGAAGGGGAACAGGTGGGCCCATATCATGCAATGTGCATGTCAACTTGAAATTGGTGGAATCCTCGGAGAGGGGTATTTCGGGTATTATCCAAATTTAATCCATGAAAGATGCTCTTTTATGTTCCCTTGGGGATTAAAAGTATAGGTTTATTCTAATTTTATTTGAATAAATAAATAAATATTTATTTATTTAATGTCATAAGTGGGGTTGGTTGGTTGAATTTTTAACACCTTTGAGCTTAGCCAAAATGCTTGTTTTCTTTCTCCTAATCATCACACGCTCCTTTTCTCTCTCTAGAACGAGCCTAAACTTAGGCTCGAGAGATAGCTGTCCAAAATCAGAGAAGTGAGTCGCCAAAAGGTGAGTCTTCGAGATAACTACATCTATAATTTCCACTTTTGCCCTTTCATCGAAAATTTTCTCCCTATTAATTCAGTCAAAGTCTCCATATGACCCTCTGAACCGATCATGAAAGTCTCCCTCATCTGGCTGTTCTTGTCGACACACGTCCCATTTTTAGGATTTGACATCTGATGGGCTCGGTATTTTCATACGTCCCTTGCGACATGGTTTGGTTTTAAAAGTGAATACTATTCTCACAAACCAACACGAGACATTATAGCATGTTTGGAGGGGTGTGATACGGAGATTTGGTAGTTAGTGATTGGTTGATTGATTGATTTACAGTGAAATGACAATTTTACCACTGTGGGCAAGATTGGTATTGTCCATTTGTTTGGCATCTTGTACAGTAGGTTTTGATGTGCCCATAATGCCCCTTTTGTCTTTCCCTAAACAGCGCTAACACGATCCACATAACACGGCGCCGTTTCCCGCACATCTCTCATTTCATATTTAATTTCAAAAGCGCAACCCCTAACCTAAGCTAACTCATTAATATTCAATTTCATAATTAATTTTATTTTAAAATTTAAATATTTTATTTATAGAAGGAAAGGTACAAAAAGTACTGGAAATAATTAAAATATATAATTAAATAAATTAAAAAAAGGTATAAAATTCCACCCCACTAATTAGGGATTCGATACTAATATCTATGCCGTATAAAAAAAAAGAGAATTATGTTATATTTATGCTGTGGATACGACGTCGTTTAGCTGCGAATATATTGATCCAAACGCACCGTATTGTCTGTGTACGGGCAAGGAAAAATGAACGGCTTTGGATTAAAAATGTCGGAGAATCTGAGCCGTTGGAAGTTGCTTCCCTGAAAATTCTTTAAAAATGGGGGAAGAATATAATAATGTTTAATTAAAAGGACGAAAAGAAAATAAAGAAAAAGGAGAATGATTTTATTTGTAATTTTTAATTTGTAATTTGATGGAGAAGTCCGAGAGAGTGTAAAATTTGTGTGTGTGTTTTTAAAAGTAGTTTTTAATGCATTGAGTTTCACATCGGACACCAAAAGGCTTTTGTTGCTTTGCGCCAAATGGAGGGTCCTTAGTTTCTCTCTCTTTCTCTCTCTAACCTTTAGCTTCTCTCCTGCTACTGCTGTTCAGAATCAACGACTTCAATCGCTACTGTTTTTTCTGTTTAACCTCCTGATCTGCAGATTTATTCAGGTATAGACGTTTAATTTTACGGTTTCTTCTTGATTTTTTCATTGTCTGAGGTTTTCTCAGGCTGATTCTGCTTTGTTTGTGGTTTATTAGCGGATTTTCTTTTCCTTCTTGGCTTTTTTGTTGTGTTTGTGTTAGTTTTGATGATTATATGTTAGTGTTCTTCTTCTTCTTGCTGTTTCTATGTTCTTTGAGCTTAGACTGTGTATGAATCTCTTATTTTCTGAGCCAGAAAATTGGAGGTGGCGGAGGAGGAGGTTATTTGGTTGATGAACTTATCGATTTTTGTTTTGCTGTGTTGTTTTGACTAATGTGCTGCTTGCTAGACTGAATCTCCTTCTACTTACTTTTTTCCTCTCATTTTATCTGAAGAATTTTAGAATTTAAGATCTGCGACGTCTGTCGATTGTTTTTCAACGTGCTGAACAGTCACCAATAAACGAATATCTATATACTTTTTTTAATCTTTTGATTGCTGTTGGCTCTATTTATACCTGTGATTTTAATGCACTGATTCTGGCGACTGCACACATGGTCCATTTTTGTCTTCCGGTTCGTAGATTTATTGATTTTAGCTTTGATGCTTTTTCTTTTTGCGTGGCTGTTTGCAGCGGATCCAAAATTATTTACTGTTACGAAAATAATTTAGGTTGACTGTTCCTAGTTTGATTTGTGTCCCAAATGTTGCTATATGTGAAATTACGTTATGTTTCAGTCTACTGAACGTTGTCCTCTGTAGCTTGTTCTTTTCTAGCTATCTTGAAAACGTTTCTGTTTCTTAATGAACTTCTCACTATGCTTCAAAGTAGTTGGTGATCTCGTAGCTACGCAAGATGGTTCGAGTTTCTCATAGTCTAGTAATCTGGTTGAATGACAAAGTAGAAAGAACAGGAAAATCCATACAATCTGTGTTTGTATTGGAAATTGAAATATTCGTAGTGTTCTGTTTTCTACAGGTTTTAAGATCGTGAGCTTTGTCATTCTGGAATTTTGATGTCTCCACCACCACATGA